CGCTATTTCCTTACTTCTTTAAATATTTCCTTAAACGATTGTATAGTCAAACAATTTAAATAGTTCTATCAGAAGTAGGCCAAAACTAATATTCTTCTTCTAACTGTACTCATAATTAATGGCTAACTTCTCCGACCACCAGGGTAAGCTGTTTGGTCCGGTGCTATCGCTGAGAAAAGCTATTCATTTTTCCATTGCATATATCGCTGGTCCATTGATATGTTAAAAATCTTTCCTGTATCATTCTATATCAGTCCAGACTTTGATTGGCGCCTCTCGATTTCGATGCCATCCGTCACAGGGTTTAGGAATTAACGCGACTAGAGTGGATCCAAGATATTTAAAGTCTGGCACTTCCTCAACCGGTGATAAATTGATAAAAATAGGTATTTTATCAAATACAAATGGACTTTCGTTTCATTACATTGATTCTGAGTCCGATTCTCGCTGCAGTTGTTGACACATTGTCTAGCATTATTTGCATTTCAGCACTATCAGCGAAAAGAACTACATATCATCAGCATATTCAAGGCCTGTAATAATACACTCTTGACTGCTGACAAACGATGTCCATTATCCAGTCTATCGCATAAAATAAAAAACACCCATCAGTTCTTATTTCGAAAAGAAAGAAATTCTAAAAGAAAAATGAAGAAATGAAAAATTCTTTTGCGAAAAAAAAGTGCGAGGAACCTCGTTTTTATTCAAATTTTACGAAAAATTTTATGAAATACGGAAAAACATGCAAAAAAACAATATTTGGTGTTTCCATCGCCAAATAATTATTCCATCATTTAATTTTAAATGCAATCGCGAGGAATTATAAAAAATTTCACAATTTTTATGCTGTCGCATTTCGCTTTCCGTTTATTCCTCGGGGATTGGATGTGGAAAAATATTGATTTTATGCTATAACGTTCTTTTTTGATCTGACAGTGATTGTTCGCTTACGGTAGTATTTTCGAATTCTCCCCTTCTAGGCGAATTTTCCGGCCTTTTTTACAATTTCACCATAATATTTTTCATAAATCTATCTATTAAACAAAAGTATTCAGTCGACTCCCTTAGAATTTTTGCTTCGCCAACATATTATATCAAGTGAGTTATTAAAAAAAGTGAAGAGATGTAATAAAGGTGGCGATGCAGTGATTTTTAAAAACCCTATTTCTCTTCTCTTCTTTCGTGGTTTTATTTCGAAAAAAGGATGCTTTTATATTACCCGTCGATGTCCTCGTAGAGGAGTCACGATAAGGAATAGAATGTCTCAGTGGGTTGTTGCCCAATTCGAAGCGCCGATGCCGAGGTTCCGCAGGAGGAAATCTGGGTAATGCTAGCGGCTCATTTGTACTTCTGTCGCCAAGGAACTCCTAGCACATTTATCTAGCGCGTCAAACTAGCCGAGTGAGCCTAATCAGTAATGGTGAGGACTCTCTAAAAAAAACATTGACTCATAATAATCTGTATCGGCTCGCAGTGGCTTACATCGGCTCCGGCGGGAATGCCTACAGTTTTTATCACATCATTGCACGCAACCAGTCTAAAAGGAAATGACGAGTACCCACTTGTATTATTATAAATTACTATAGTGCAATACAAAAAAGTATAAAAATTTGTGATTTCTCCTTATTATGCTACATTTATTCCTTTAATATTTCCTTCCCCAATCTTAATTCTCCAGTAAAGTTTCTAATGCTTTCCTACCACGATTATCCGCATTCCGTTGCACATCAAACCAGCAATGCAATTATAACAGTTATAAATGCACTTTTACCTCCCGGACCCGACAATTAGCGCAACTAATGGCTGCAAACTAGTAGATTCTGATTCTCTTTATATATCTCTGTCATTAAGGTTATTTTCTACACAATTCTCGAATATTCTACTCCGTTCTATTCTGTTCATATATAAATTGTTTGATCGTGTAAAATCGTCTCCTTCTGTTTTTTAGATAAAAATGTATAGTCGTGGGGGGTGATTCAATAGTAGAGGGTGTGCAGTTGGGTGAGGTGGCGGGTGAAGGGTTGGATGGGGGAACAGATGAAAGGTTGAGTGGAGGAACGATTGGACGGTTGAACAGTCGGAAAGAGTTTTGAATGGTACTCAAATCCCGCTTTATTTCGTTGCAGTGTCCTTCTGACAAAACCATTCACCATTTGTTTTGCTCTGTTGGTTATCGGAATTAGGTTCTTTTGGCAGAGGTTTTATCTGGATATTTCGTTATTTTGTTCCTTTATTTTTAAATTTTGGTTTACGATTTCTTTGATTTTATTTTAATTTTATATTTTGGAATTTCTGCTATATTTTTTAACTTTTTATAATTTTTACCTTAATCTATAATCGTTTATTTGGACTTTACAGTTTTTATGAATAATTTATAAAATTTGTAAGCAATATTCTAAATGTTTTTATGCTTTTCTGTTTAGTTTGTACGACTATATATCTATTGAAAATCAATATTTTTGTTCACGATAAACATAGTTTTTCCAGCTTATATCAGTCCAAGTACTTTATTCCATTTGCATAGATGTCTCGAATCAGTACACTTCCGGAAGATGGTTTTAAGGTCCTCTTTTTTGAAAATGTTTTTCTTCCAAAGTATCGAGAGATGGATGGAATGGCGGTCTATTGCTGAAAGATCAGAGGAATGGATGGATTTCTATATTTATTTTTATAAATTTTTGCAAAGTGATTTTGTAGTGTATGTCACATTATCATACAGAGTGATCATCTCTTTTTTTGGCTAGTGCATAGTACAGATTGCTTCTCTATGACTCTGCCATAATTGTTTTGCACCACGTTTTAAATTACTAGATTATTTCTTACGCCCACCTACTGTGAACATAGTAGTCTTTGAACTTAGACTGATATAGTGATAAAAGATTTTGAACCAGCCATAGGTGGACCAGCAATATATGGACTTAGACGATGGGAAAAAGAAGTGACTTCTGGTACTACTAGCGATGGCGTTGGACCGAGCAGCTTGGAGATATTTTACCCTTGTAGCCAGCGGAGCTAGCCTAACCAGTAATGGTGAGAACTGTTAGAAGAGGAATCCATTTTTACTGCAAAAAAATTTCGTTCTAGAAAAGCTGATAACGAACGCATTTTCATCGATTCTCGAGGGAAACCCAATTGCCACCGTTTTTCTCCATCATACATGCTTGTTCCGCAATGTATTATGTGGGATTGGAACCTTTCTTGAATTAAACTTGTAGAATTCTTTCGATCCACAAATTCCTTCAGAGATTTTGACAGCGTAAGGCATCTTTGAAATCCCAGTTTTCACTACTTTTGCAATGGACAGAAACTAGAGACCACTGCGATTATACTACGTCATGTAAGTCAGTGTAAAACAAATTTTCAACTTTGAATGCTTGGGCGATTGCGAATTCTGCAATCCCTTTAGCTGTTCCTATTAGTGCTCTATTCTGGATAGAGATTTATGATTTCGTTTCTGGAGTTTGCTGAAGCCACTTTTCTAATTTAAGGATCGCAGTTCCAAGTGCTCCAATTATCACTGGATTTACTTAATTACTTCTCTAAGTTTTTATGAGGAATATCTCCGAGCTAATCTAGGGAGGATCTAATTTGCTTTGCCCCTTGATATTTCTTCTGCTTGATCGTTTTCGAATGTTTCTATATTTCGGGATGCTTCGAGTTTCGTTCAAGGTAGTGGCTTTTACATTCACTAAACCCCATTTTCCGATTGGTGTATAGCCTTTAGGTATTGGACATGGGTTGGGATGGGATGGAAATTTTCGTGCATTATGAGAAGTTTGCTGATTTTTATATCAACAGCCTCCATATTTTCCTTTGTCCATCTTATTACGCCAGTTGCGTACTTGGTGACTGGCAAGGTTCATATACATATAAATATACATATAAATTTATAATTACCTGTATAAACATTAAAAAGATTGTAAATCTATAAAAAAAAGAATATTTTGGACTAAAATTATCTAAAATTTTTGTTATATATATGATACTGCCTTTTCATTTATTTTCATCACATATCACCGTTGCATATTTTTATTATCCTTGCATTTGGTATTATTTGTGAAATAATAAAAACCTTTTTATGGAGAATTTATTTCTTTTTCAGTTGAAATTTTGCAGATGGAAAAGTCGAACGCAGAGCAAAAACCATATGAGATCGAGCTTTACGTCCCAAATTTTAAACCAGACGAACTTTCTGTAAAAGTAAATGAGCGTGCGCTTATTGTGGAAGGTCATCATATCGAACGCGAAGAAAATGGTAGTAACGTAGAGCGTCATTTTATTCGTCAATTTATTTTACCAAATGATGCGAAGAAGGACGAACTGAAATCAAAACTTAACGAAGAAGGTATTTTGAATGTATGGGTACCGCGTGAAACCCATCAAACAGTTATGCGAAACATACCAATTCACGTTGACCCAAATTGGAAAATGAATAGCCAGTGTCGTGATCTCGCACTTCGTCAACCAATTCCTTTATGGTGGTGGTGAAAGTTTTTTCATTTCTTCGAACATTATTATATAGCAACATCTTGTTTGTTTATTGCAATATTTTTAAATGTCAATTTCCGCTGATATTGGCATATTTTTTTTGTGGTTTTACACATTTTTATCGTGAATAAATTTTTAGAACAAAGTTTTTATCAACAAAATATGCCCGATAAAAGGTTAGGGGGGGGAAAGTTTTTTTACATAAGATTTTCTTTTATTTCGTAACGTTACATTCTGAAATGCTTTAAAAAAATAAATTAGGGGAAGTAAAAAATGGAAAGAAAAAATAGGCAAAATACAAATCATGTGAGTAATATGAGCGATCTGCAAATAAATTCAAAATCAGAGTTAACAAATCATAAAGGATAACAATTGACGGTATTTGGAAAAGAAATAGTCAACAGTTCCATACCTTCGCCAAAGAAAAAACAATTGTAATGAGAAAACAGAAAAATTGAAAAGTTGAAGATTAGAAAATCAGATTAGAGAAGAAAAAATTGGATAATTCATACCAAGATGAGTTAAAGAAGCATCAAGGATAAATCAAGTAACATAATTATCGGAATACGTGACGTCTAAATCGAATGAAGCAATCTCTCTATTAACTTCATCGCCTAAAGCCGTAATTTTTATATCTGAATCACTTGCGACAGAATCTTTTCTGTGCCGAAGTGCCGCATGAGCCGCTTGAAATTTACTTCCAAGAACTACAACAGCATAATCCAAAAGCAAATTGACTTGCAAAATTTTATATTCAAAAAAAAGTTTCGCAATATCATACTGATTAAACGACGGATCATAACCGCTTACTTTCAATGAAGATTCGATGTCTGCTAAAAAAATCGAAAAATAATATAAATATAAATAATTCAGAATATGAAGAAATTTGACGAGAAAGATTTCCAGTGCTACGTTCAAGATCAAAATTTTTTCTAGGCATTCCAAACAAAAAATTAATTAAATTCATCTTCGAATATGTATTTTTAAATCAAAAGAAAGAAAATGCAATATCAATTAAAATAATTTTGAAAAATCAACAAGATCTAATTGGTTACTACTGAGATAGTTCCATTTTTCATGATTCATTAGCGAAGGATCTTTTCCTAGTAATCAATCACTCAAGCCAGCTAAAACAGAAAATAAAAAAGAATCACAACAGTTTTTACTTAAAAATTGTTTAAGAAATGCTTAACTTACTGAAAGACAAATTATTATGCAAAACTGAATCAACTATATCTTTTAGGTCATTGGTACCATCATGTATCACAAAATGACGAGGCATTTCATTTGGCTGTCCAACACGAATCGAATAAATTGAACTAAAATTCAGTCAAATGAGATGAATAAGTGTTGACGCTACAAAAACATACTATAAATAACGTCAAAAATATTTAAATTTCAACAAAGTTCAATGAAATTCGATAAATACTTACGAATCCTTGTGACAGACGATTTCATGTAGTCTTCTCGAAATCCACTGAATTATTGAACCGAAAAAAACAATATCTCTGAATACATCAGAATTTTCATTCAAAATTGTCTCAAGTAGAAATCCTTGACGAATAAGCGAATTGTGCTCCGAAAGCCTTTTCATTAAGTGATATTCGCGCGAATCTCGACTATCAAGTACATGCAATACGAATATTACTGATGAATATTCTAAAAATAAAAATTGAATTGTAAATCACAAAATTTATATAAAACTGAGGATAAAACTAAAAAAAAGATTAAGAATAAAGTATTAAATAATTAAGAAAATCAGTGACAAAAACTTCACAATACCGCATTTCTAAGTGCTTTGCACTCACCACTTCTGGTAGAAGTGCAGTTGGGTCGCCGGCATCTCTTCAGTTTTCAGTTTTTTAAACACATACTTACTCTTATTGGGGTATAGGGACTAAACTTTTATCCGTACTGTAGAACTATCACTCACACTGCTATCCCGTACATTTCAGATTATACATAAATATTCCTAAAAGCGCTCACCATTAGGGCTAATTAGGGCTTATTACGTTGGTTAGTCGGACAAGACAAATTTTGCTAAAGGGACACTTGGAGAAAAAGTTAATCGTTAGTTTAATTTATAAATATTTAATAATAAAATGACTTTTCGAGCAAAAAAATAAATACATTTACAAACCATGATGAACAGTCTCATATGCGTCTTTGACTTCACCTACTTCATCTGGGGTTGTATATATAACGGTTTTGGGCTCCAAATTAAATCCATGCGTTTGTCCAAATAAATATGACCTTTTGGTAATTCCATCTGTAAGCCATTTACCAAAAGTTCTAAAAAAAAAAAGCTCACTGGAATGAGGATCTAGTTCGTGGAAAATTCATAAAATTCCACATCTTTTTTCGTTATAGTACCATTAACCCATTAAAAGCACCTATCTGATGCGAAGAGACAATTTCCGAAAGATGCATAGGGAAAATGCCTCAACCAAGTTTTCGCACCTACGACATTTTTTCAAATTCATATGGCAAGTGGCGTGCTGCACGGCGATCGAGAGGCACGGTACGCCTTCTCCTGACGAGAGTGAGAGAATCGAAAATGCGAACTTGTATCCCTATATGATTCTTCAATGAAAGATTCACGTCCTAACAGCCATACAGCCAGCAAAAGGAAATGATAAGGAAGTGATAAATGCTACAAAAATGAGAAAGCTATTAGAATCAGAAAAAAACAATTAAAAATTTCATTTTAAACAAAAGGCGAAAATGAGTTAATTGCAGAAAGTCGTTAAAAAGCGGAAACCAAAACAAAATGGAACTTACAATAAACGCTCCATGTGTTTCTCGCGATCGGAAATAGAACAAATCATCGCCCAATCCATAGGAATGCCCGACATTTGCGCTATTCGCACGCTCTTTTCGCCGAACGACTGAAACAAAATTTGTCTACGATTCCTCAACAATACATGAACGGTTACATTGCATGAATTACAAATAAAAAATGGGATAGTGAAAGTAAGGCGAGCTTCATCGTCCAAAGTTGTCCTCGGCGGAGATTCCCGAGGACATTTGAGATGTCGAGGTTTCCACGAGCTGCCAGGACTCAAAACTTTCACTCAGAAAATTGAACTCCCAAATCATATTCCTCGAAATAATTTACTTCCGCAAAACGCGCAGCATTTGTTGAGCTGATGAATAGTAAATTTCTGCAAACGACGTTTAGTGAACGACTGAACGACCGACCGACCAACTGATTTCTCGTTATTAGTTAAGAAAGCTGATTGGTAGAAATTGTTCCATGCTTAAGGATATGTAGGGGAATGGTGGTAGTGGTGGAAGGTGAAATTGGGAGGAGGGGAAGTTATTTTAAGTATTGCTGAAGAATTGCAAGGACTGACGAGGAACAGGAAATTTCCGTGTTTGATTTAAGATGCGTTGTAGGAGGGAAATGTCGAAAGTGGAATTAAAATGACCACAAAATATTTTTATTCATTCTACTTATATTTTATTGAGGAATAAATAAACGAGTTTTTTCGGTAGATCCAACTTCATTATTATTTTCGTGTATACCGTATTTCCATATTTTCCTCTTCGAGAAATCCCTTCATCTTTTCAGTATTCTCCGCAAGCGTAAGCATTCATCGGTTTGAGCAGATAGCAGTGATGGCGATCGTTGGTGATCAGTGATCTTTCTGATACATTAGTAGGTGCACTTAGTGTATAAGCGTTTCCCAGCTGAGTCACAGAGGTTGCTTTAGCACGAAATGGTACTTGAAATTTGGTATATTGGAGCATTTAATATGATCTATAAGTATACTTCGGTCGTCAATTAAGAAGCTGTAGCCGTTTTTTTGTTTTCCTCGTTTTCTCATTATTTTAATTTTGATATTTTAATTAGTCAGTGGAATTTCGTTAAGCAGTAGATAATTATATTTTTATTTTTGTTATCGGATTGCAGATTATAGACGTAGTTAGCACTATGGTAATTAGCGATCTGCTTTCCATAATTTTCTTCTTCATCGTGAATGACAGGTTCGCCAATCGTTAGAGATAATCTTGGACGGATGAAGTGGTCAGGTGTAGAATTAAATTGCCAGTGAAAGTGCTGGTTTCTTTCTTAAAATGTTCTGGTGATTCGATCACCATTAGTGCCCAGAATACTCAAAATCTTTGCTTTGTACAAGCATCGAATTTTTAAAATCAATCTATTTCATCTGCGACATATGCGATAACAGCTTTTGTAGATGTTTTTTGCGAAGTATTTATTTAGATTACGTCAATTTGTCGAATAAAGCCTTCGAATTCTTTATGCAATTAATAGTTTGCTCACTTATTTTTAATTGTCCATCTCCAGCCATTCTTTTTATGGTTTTCTTAGCAATTTGAATGAATGAGTCTTCTTGCCAGAAATATGCGCTCTGTAACGAATTTATGAGGGGTATATAATCGTTAAATCTTTAACGATAGATAACTAAGCATTTTTACATATGGCTTTCAGCGGTAAATAACTGTTCAATTCTTGTTTTTGGTTTAATAAGCTTTGAAGGAGGAGTAACGCTCATTTCCGTTATCATATGGCAGATATAAGCCTTGAACAACATTGCCTGCTTTGGCACATTCGACTTTAAATATTTGATTTTTTTCCTCAAGTTGCCACAAGTTTCTTCTAGTTTTTCTCTCATTAATATTTTCAGATTTATTGTGAGGATGAATTGGAATATTAATTCGGCTAGGTGATTCTTATCATATCATATTTATCCAGAAATATTCTCTTTTACACAAGGGCAGTCGGTTTTGAAAAAATAAAGAAAAAAACTGAAAGCGAATGAGAAAAAACTTCTTTTTACCATAGGCTAGTTGTATTTTATCAATATATTTTGATAATTTTCGTATTTTTCGATTGCGTTGGCATCACAAGCTAGAGATGTCTATCGACTGACGTTAAGGAATCATAGGGATTCAATTACAGGTAGTGTCTGGAGTGCTGCCCGAACATTCTGGATGATGTTTCTCATTGAGTGTGAGAGAGCTGCCACCCCATAACTATTTCGAATCCACTGATTATCTTTCAAATTATCTTTGTTCAACGAAGAAGAAGAAAATATTTCTGGCCATTGCGGACTCGAAATCATCTCTTCAAAGTATCATTTTAATAGCGGTAAAGTTTATCCTGTGTTGACGTTATTAAAAGGCTGTGGACTTAAGAAAAGGAAATTTTTGAAATTTCCGAATGGAGAGAAAATGTTTCTGATTTTAGTGGTTAGGTAAAGCCAACTAAATTAGAAATGGTGATTATTGTAAAAAAAAGCGGAAAAGAAACTAAAGAAGAGTAAATTGATTAGTAGAAATATAGATTGATTATTAGAAGAAGGCTTAATTCACCACAGTTCGTATTTCACTTTTAATACTAAAGAATTAGTCGATCATCTTTCTTTTGTATAACTCCGTTGTTTCTTCTACTGCTGTCGGTGTAAGCGAAAAGTACCAAGTTATTTTTTATTAATTTTTGCATTTTGTAAGGGAAATTATTTAATTATTTGCTTTTTGCATAGAGAAAATTAATGATTTCCTTTTTTTTCAATGAAAGAGAAAAAGAGAATATTTATTTTTATTTGATGAAAAGAATTGCGTAAACCTTTAACAAATACTTACTAGTTTTTTCTTGTTATTTTTCTTTTGCTTTCGTTTAATTTCTGTTTTTACTATTTTTATAAAATTTTCCTCTCAAAGATCGCTTTTGAGAGGGTTTTTTTACTTCGTAACTTTAACTTTCTAGAATTTTTCAGAGATTAATTTTATTTCTTTATTGAAATCCTTAAAATTTTGTTTTTTATTACATTTTTCCTATTCTTTTTCCTTTTAATTTTTAATTACTTTATTTTAGTTTTTTTTATTTTTTTTAGTGTTTAAATATCGATTATTGAATATTTCACCTTCTTTAACTGAATTATTTATGGAACCTCATGTTTTTCGTTTATCAATTGCAAAAGGCAATGAATCGTTGCAGAATTCAATGCTTATATCATCATCTGTTCTTCCGGTTCAGAAAGTATATTCTGAAAGGTTTGTTTATGAGCTCTTTTTATTCTTTGGTTTTAAGAATTTTTGGAATTCACGTATCGTTTGGAGACTTTAATGCTGCTTTTCGGGTTTTGGTCAATTTTTTTCAAAATGTTTAATTTCTTTTTGATCAAAATTGGAAAAATAGATGAAAGAGTCGGTGCTTTATTAAAACTTGATAGATTTGTTATTCGTTAGATAACTTATTGGTAATAAAAAATATCATTTGAAACAACAGATTTGAAATTTTCTTCATATCTTATTATATGCCTTTTAAATAAATGTCGAACTGGTTTTATCTTATTTTGATGATAAGAAAACTTGTTTTTGAAATTTCATTTCCTTTTTTCATCTTAGCTTTTTCGCTGAAAGCCATATTTTTATTCAATTAGATCATTAACAAAAAAATGATTTTAATAAAATTTTAATTATAATATGATATGAAATAACTGTTTAACGATAAATTATATCTTTTATTGGACTTTTTTCAACAAGCCGATAAATCTCTGTCCATTCATTTTTTCATGAAATTTCACTTAAATTTTATAATGTTCAGTGGGGTTTATGGTGGCATACTTAATATTTCTACAGTTTGGTTACAATTTTCTCCAGTTTTTAGAGTGAGACATCTTCGTCACAGAGATACTTGGGAGACCTCAGTACAATTGTATTTCATTTCTAACAACATGTTTAAAATCTAATCCAGATGAAATCTATAAGAATAAATCTAATTTATTGGGAAAGAACAACTTAGTTCCGATGATGTATTTCTAAGTTTTTACTGTTTTTACTGTTGATATAATTAATAATTTTATTATTAAATTATCTTGAATATGATTATGAATGAAAAGCGAACAATTTCGTCATTATAATAATTTTATATCACATTTTTTTAGATAAATTAATTAATATTTAATTAATTAATTAGTTAATTAATGAGCAATTATTTAAATGTCTCTTTTTTTAAAAAAATATTTTGTTTAAAAAATCGGGGAATTACTAAATCGCAGCTGGAAATACTATTGGTTGTAATTATTAATTAAATGGAATCGATTTAAGTGAAAGATGGATAATTTTGCTAATTGGAACTTGTGCAGGTTATTTTCGCAAATTATCTTCCACATTCATTGAATTCATTGAGTTGAAATCAAAGAAGATTTCAGTTATAATTTATGGTTAATTTATGGTTATATATTGTATAACCATATTTCACTATATTTATTTTAGTTGCTTCCAATAATAAATCCGTGAATTAATAAAACCATAATTTTTTTGGATTGCTTTTTAGTTTATTGCATAATTTTAATAATTTAAGTAAAAAAAATATTTTTCCTGTAAGTTAAATTTTTAGGATTTGACGAAGTTTTTTAATGAACTAAAAGGTTTCATATTTAATATTGCGTAAGAATTTTCTTTAACATTTAAAAGTTGAGCATTTTTCTTCTTCTAATAGTTCTCATTATTACTTGTCAGGCTGATTCCATTGGCTGTAGCGGTACTGTAAGTTGTTTTCTCGACTGATGCCATTTCCAAGAATAATGAAAACACTTTTTTCATCTCCTAGGCCCATGTATCGTATGGGATGCCTATATATTCAAAGCCACTTCTATGAGCAATGTTTGGATCTTATCGCTTTTGATGCCATCCTTCATAGAATTTAGCATTAGAGAGATCTGCGAAAAGTGCTGAAGAACAGCTCCTAACTAGCATAGGTGACAATTTCGTGAATGCAAGCATATTTGAGCGATATTGAAATTAAGCGATTTTAATCGTAAAATATACCTTAGAATGGTTAAAGGAATGTTGCTTATAAATAAATCTTGCACCATCATTGGTCGGTTTCACAGCTCCAAGATGGCTGATTGCAAATGCGAACTTCCGTTTTAATGGTGATTTAACGGCGATTCTTAAGTAGTTCACCAGACGAAAAAACATATTTTCTAGTTGCAGTTATCCGCGCTTTAATTTCGTCATTTGTATAAGAATGAATCCAAGATTTAAATCTTGCCACTTCTTTAATCCATGGTTAAGGTATGTCTTTATTAACTTCTGGTAGGATGAATTAAATTAGACCCAAATCTTTTTTTAAAGAGTTTTATCTATTTTTCTATTTTCTTCCTTTCTAATTTTCATGAATTTTGGCCTGAATTTCAACGATAAAACTTTCGTTTGCATCGATCCCGATTTTTACTGCGACTATGGATATGCTACCTCCTTGTAGTTCTTCCGTCAGTAAAAAAAGTTCTCTCATATGCGTGTTCATGCACATATCTGTGATATTTGCGATACTATACTCTGAACTTGTACATCTCTTGAATCCCTACAAAAGGTCGCCATAATCCATTCTATCGCGTTGAATATTGTAGGAAAAAAGTTATACGGACATATCTATGACGGACATCACTTATTACCTAAAAAGGATTTAGACCTGTGGCGCAGTTCGACATTTTTACATTCCATCACTCTCCAAAACACGATTCTATCAGTTGAATCGAAGGCAAAATCGATGAAACAAGTGACGGTTGGTCGCAGATATTTGAAGCAATATTTCAGCACTCTCCTTAAAATGTTTGGTCACCATCTAATCCAACTTGCTTATGGCTCGTCTTGTTGTAATGAAGTCTATTCAGCAAGCGAAAATCTCCGAAATATCTAATGGACTCTCGATGTTGTCGCTATATCACCCTGTTGAAGATTGGGAGCAGGACTGCTTTGTTCCAGTTATTTGGTGTTCCTTCCTTAGTTCCTTCCTTCATTCCTAGGGAATAAATTTGCTAAAGGTGATTTGTGAAGAATATTAGACAATTTTTAAAAATCTAAGACCGTTATCTATAGGGGCTTTACATTGAGCTTTTAATGAAGGAATTATTGTTATTTTGGCGACGTGCAATTATACAAATATATGGCTGGACAGAGTTTCAGCTATATCTGTGGTGGCACATAACACATAGTTCAGCTCAAAGAGTAATATGTTCTTTGATAGTCTTAACATGACACTGTCCCGTTTTCATCGTCAGCAACCATTAACAGTGAAATTTTTTTTTTCGAAGTAAATCTTTTTAAATAATAGTGATTGATTTTTTAGAACCTAAGCGATGTTATTAAATGAGATTTAGCTAGGCAACATTAAGAAAACATTAGGAATAATCTTCGAATTCTGTTGTCATAGAGTTTTTTTTGTTAACTTTTGGCTTAAAAAAAGGTGCTTTCGTTATTTTGAAAAAAATTTTTTAAAAAATGTTTTGGTGAATTTTTTCTGGTTCTGCATTCGATAGAAATGAATCTATTATTATAAAGTTCCAGTGGTGCTCGAGGCTCCACCTATATTTCTATTTTCATATGATACTCTGGTGAAAATTTCTTGTCATACTGAAAATCAAATAGGGCCAAAATAGTAATCACTAACCACTTTTTTAAAAATGAAAAAAATTGGGAAATAACCTTGGGTTTTTTCCAGATTTTTATTTTATTTTATTTTATATGAGTGACAAGTGATTTAAATGATTTTATTATTATTGATTGGGCACTATTCGTTATCAGTGCATTCTGTCGTATATAGCGACTGTATTGCTGTTTCTATTGTCTTAGGCGTTCTTTTATTCATTTATTATTTTGTCCAATTTTAAAGATATTAATCTAATACGGCTTATATGACGTGTTGTTTTCAATTCGATACCGTAATCTCAAAAATAGCTAAGCACCAATGTAAACCAGGAAATGGTGAATGCGATAGAAAAGAATAGGAAATATTTAATATTAAGGAAGTAAATTGGATCGGATCCTCAGTGTTTCTCGTCCTTTTATTCTTTAATAATTGTCGCAATTAGTTGCCATTTTATCAATTGATCAGTTAAATCAAATTTTACCATTCTTTACTTTACTTTATTTATTCGGTTAGATTTATTAATATTTGCAGAAAACCTGTTTTTTTTAATGTTTAATATTGATCCATCATTTTTCAAAATTTTTCAAAATTCATTAACATAAATTAAGGTTTAGTACAAATGAGAAAATGGTTTGTTTCCTTGGAAATACTGGCTTTTAGTAGAGGCACGATAGACGAGTGTGTCCAAATCACTATCTCATTGAGAGTTTCGATAGAAGTAAGTAATTTGAAAAATCTGAGTGGTGCTGGTCCCTTTTATATTTTTATCTCTAACTGACCCACTGGCAAAAGTTTTTCGTCATACCTAGTGGAGCGAGCCTATCTGAAAGTGAGAAACGACCATCTATTTATTTGTTCACTTCGCTTATCATAATAAATAATGAAAATTAGTGAAAACTGTTTGGAAATTTACGAAAATACTTATCGGACGTATTGAAACATTGAAATTCATCTGCACATTCCTTCGTTTTATTTTTAAAACTTATAATTATTAGTAACAATAGACTATCTATTGTAATATTTCAGATTATATAAAAAACAGTGAAGCTTTTTTCTTCATTTATTTTCAATTTTTATTAATATAGAAAAAGGTTCAGTTTTTTGTTTTTTTCAGTTTTTTCTTAATCTTATTGTTTTTACTCTTATTACTTTTACTGATCTTACTTCTTTAATATTTTACTTCGTTTTACGGATTTTTTAAAAGGATTTTCTTATTTATCCATCGTTATTTTAAAACATTTTTAAATTTTTAAATTCAATTTCAATTTCAATAAAATTTAAAATACCAACAATAAAATAAGATTGAAATATTTTGGCTTTAAGTTTTCAAAGTTTTTCTGATAATTTAGATTTAAAGACTTAAGTAACTGAAAAAATTATCAGCTAATTTACTTAATTTAAATGATTCCTTTATTTCATCAGTCAATCTGTTTTTCTTTTTTGTCGAAAAAAAATTTTTTGCTTTTTTTCACTGTTTTTTCAATCTTTTTTGTAATTTTTTGATAAAATGATAAAAATCATTATCATTTAAGAGACAAAAATTTTTACTTTTTATTTTTATTTTTTTCTAAATTCATTTTCACATCATTTTCCATTGCAACACTGGCAGCTACTGGGAAATTACAATTAAAATTATAATAATTTATTAACGAATTTTGTAGCCTATTCGTCTTAATGGTGTATTCTGACGATTTAACATCTTATGGTGGCGTCTGATGTTCAAGTGAACAGAATATGGCTTGATTTAGACGATCACTTTATTTAATATTTCTTTTTTTAAGTTAAAGTAAATAAAATAAAAATTTTAAAACTCATATCGCCGCATATTCCAAGAATAACTTTAGACACCAATTCTCGGAGGGAATAAATGTTCATTGATATAGTGACTGGTTAAAATAAAAGTGGGAAGCGATTTAAGATAGTTTCATAAATAAATAACGCAAAAAATCGAATAAATTTTATCGAAATTTGATTAAAATTTGTTTTTGGATTTTTTTTTGTGAAACATGAATTCTGTTTAAGCATTGTTTTTCTAAAGGATTTGGCGTACCGCATGATGAATGTTTATGAATTTTTTACATAAAAAATGTTTTAATTTGAAATAGTTTTGCCTGAATAAAAAGCAGAATTCAACAATTTGTATCCCGAAAATCCTTCCGTTTTTCATTTTTATTTTTTCATTTTCAATTGTTGTGAATTGCAATAAACTGAAGCGCCTTTGACTTGTCGTAATAGGCTATCATAAATATAACAAATATATATATATATATATATAGTTATAAGTACTTTCGAAAACGTTTTCGATAAACTTCTGTCATCTGAGATATCATCTGAGATATCTGAGATGTCATATCATGTGAGATCATTTGCAAATAATTTTATGTAACTTCAGAACTGATGGTATGGATGCAATAAATTCATCAGCAGCAAGGCTGGCGATATCAGCAACGGGTAATTCTTTATTAGATTTCTATATTGGTCTTGGTTTGGCTGTTTCATCATCCTTATTCATTGGAAGTTCTTTTATTATCAAAAAGAAAGCATTGATAAAACTTTCTCATTCTGCTGATATTTCACAACGTGCTTCTGAAGGCGGTTATGGTTATTTAAAAGAATGGTTATGGTGGCTTGGAGTCATTACTAGTAAGTCATTATCTTTTTTTTTTGTTTTTCAGTTAAACATATTGATGCTAGACAAAAAGTTTTAAATGGTGGGATTTGTACTAAACACTTTGGCTCCACTGTCACTACTAAGAGTGAGGCCGTTTTGTTAGTCATTTATGGGAGATGTTCTCTCACTACTACCCGAATTTCAAAGTTCATTTCAAGAAGTAAGATTCTTGAACTGTTGGTTAATTAATACACCATTCAACTGCCGTCGTATTAGAAAAAAGAAAAAAATTTTTCGAGATGTGTAATATTTTTATCAAGAAATAAAAAAATGACAGATTTTAAAATTTCGACTGTCGTAAATCTTATGATTTCTTTGTATTTTTTAATAAATGTTTTTGATTGTAGTGGGTGCAGGTGAAGCGTGTAATTTCGCTGCTTATGCATTTGCTCCAGCAAGTTTGGTGACTCCTCTCGGTGCTCTTAGCGTCATCGTTACGTAAGTAAAAAAAATTATAAAAGATGTTATAATTCAGCGATAAAGAGCGAAGATTGGGATAAGATTGGTAGAAAAAGGTATTTACTTTATATTTTTAATTCATTTTTTTAAATATTCAATTTTAGTGCGGTATTATCATCTCATTTACTCAAAGAAAGACTCAATTTATTGGGTAAAATTGGATGTGCTGTATGCCTTTTGGGTTCTACAGTTATAGTGATTCATTCACCGAAAGAGGAAGAAGTTTCATCTATGGCTGATCTTGCACAGAAAATGAAAGATCCTGGTCCTCTCAGTTTTTTTTTTCAAAATTTCTGCAATAAAAATAAATTGGTTTACTTTATTCATTTATTTTAGTCATTATTTTCTTTCTAAGATATTTGCTTATTTTTATTAATTCATCATCCAACAGCACTCTCATCATTTCTGGTTTGACTGGCTCTCTTGATTTTAGAATAATAATCTTTTGCCAGTGAGTTACTTTGTAAATACAAATGTAAATACATTTGTATTCGGCATTATCCTGGTTTTCTTCTTTAATGGTAGTGATGGTAATGGCTTTGCTTTTATTAAGAAAAAGTCGAGTCCATGATACATGAAAGTCACTTGCCTATCTTTACTCTCTTAATTGTAATTTTCTAGACAAAAAAAGAAAAATCGAATAATTTAAGAAACTCTCATGGAATTGATTTTATAATAGATAAATAAAATATTAAATATTTAAATAAATATATTGCATTGCATTACCTAATTATTTAATTATTTCGCGATTAATGATTGACATTAATTATTGGTAATTTTCAGTATTTATTCTTTATGTGGTAACTGTTGTTATTGTCACATTGATATTGGTTATATATATTGCACCCCGGCATGGTCGTTCGAATATTTTAATATATATAGCAATATGTTCATTAATTGGTTCGTTATCAGTTTTATCAGTGAAAGGTCTTGGCTTGGCGATAAAAGAGACTCTTGGCGGTAAACAGCAATTAACCAATGTCCTTACGTGGTGCTGGCTTGCTGCGGTTGTTGTTTGCATATCTGTGCAACTTGTTAGTTTATTTCACATTTCACATATAACCCTTTTTCCCATTTCCGTAGTTATTTTTTTTGGTTTCATGATGTTTATAAATTTAACAAATTTTTTAAAATCGAAAAAGATTTTAAAAATTTCGAAATTGAATTAAAAATTTTCATTGGGTGGTTTATTATTAAATGATTATTATTATTATGGTTTATTATTAAATGATCATTCAAAATACTATCGCAGAGAAATTTAAAATTGTAATTCTAGAAATATCTTATAATATCTTAAAATTCTTCAAAATTTAAAATTTCAGATTTTAGAAACGAATGAATTTTTTATAGTAGTCTCTCTGGAAAGAGCACTTTTTCTTTTATATAAGTTGTGTCCAAAACTATCTTAATAAATATTGCAGATATACTTAAATAAATCATTAGATATGTACAATACGTCAATGGTTACGCCAATATACTACGTATTTTTCACATCGTTCGTAATATTGGCATCATCGATATTGTATAAGGAATGGTCTTGTTTAGGTGCTAGCGATGTTCTTGGAAATGTTATTGGCTTCTTAATTACTATTATTGGAATATTTCAGGTTTCATTTATCATTTTCATTAAGTTTCATTGACATTAATAACCATCAAAGATTTAATATAAAACATTTTTAAAAAAATATTTATTTGACTTGTAAAATTATTCGGTGATTTTCAATATCTGATTCAAATGATTTTGGCAAACGTTATTTGATTCTTGTTTTGTTTTTAAACCTTATATTTATCAAAAAGAACCTTTCTGATTTTATTGCTTAAAGTATTACTTTAGATGCAATTATTTCGAGATGTTAATATATCATTGCGGCAAGTTCGTATGCTTATACATAAACCATCTTCCAATATAAATCAATTTGAGATAGATAGTTCAACATCATTAGTTGAAGATTCACCGAGGAGGTCATCTCAACATTTTATATATACCTAATTGTATATTTTATTGTTTTAGTTTATGTCATGGTGTTATGTGTAAACTTTATGTGTGATTAAAAATATGTAAAAATTAATTTCAAAATAAATTTTAAAAAATTTTATATTTGGACTAGCTTTTCGATTTTGGTAAACGTTATTTGTACTACATCGAAGGGAAGTTTAAAGCATAAAATATCTTCCTTATAAATATCAGCTTTTTTAATATGGTGGAACTTTCTCCTTTTTAATTTTTTTGAAATAATTTCTCGATTATTCCACCCTATTTGATGCAGTGCTAGGTTCAGAGTTTCTGTTGAGGAAATTATTTAGAAATGTGTCAAAATGCAAAGGCAAAGAATAAAGATTAGAAAGGTTATGATAAGGAAGGTCAATTATTTGTGGGGAAATAGCAAAGATCAGGAAACAATAAGCGCATTTCAAACCGTATTATTGAAATACCTCATGAAATGAATATCAATGACATTTCTGGAACGGTGATTGAATACTGGCCATGAATAAAAATATATTTACAAAAGTCAGTCACTTCCTCACTAGTATGAAGTGCGCTACTTGGGTGTCGGAAGCAACTCTCTGAAAACGGTGCCACCGCCCGAATGTCATCATCCTGATTATTAGGTGCTTCGAAGAATTACAACGACAGCAGTACGACTGGATAGGAATCGGTATTGGAGCGATACGGCCTCGGAAACGGTGGCTCGGCTAAGCGATAATAGGAAAATATTTCTCTTTCACAAAGCAACTATAACTCGAGAAAAAATCAGTGAAATGATACGGGATATTAATGGGCCGCCTATTAAGGCTATTAAGGATTACCTCTTAAGATGGAAAGAATTTTGAGGCCAACCCCACGATGCGGCATTTGTTATCCTGGATATAACCGATTCGCTTATCGAGCCATACAATCGTAAGCCTTCAACAAAAGAGGAAATAATTTCTGTAATCGATAAGGTTAAGGCCAGTAAAACCCCCTGAGAAGATGGTCTTCGGGCCAAATTATTCAATCATTCACCTTCAACAAGTGTACTCTCTAGTATAGTATAGTAAAAATAAATAATACCAGAAGACTGGAACAAAGCAGTTCTGCTTCCAATTTCTAAAAAAAAAAGGTGGTAGGAAGTACTACGACAATTATCGTGGAATCAGGCTACTAGACATCTCCGGAAAAATTTTCGCTTCCCTTCTGCTAAATCGACTCATGCCAACACGAGATAGCAAAATGGGTCCTAACCAAGCTGGATTCGGACCAGGATGCTCACCAGATTTACGCAAAGAAGGATCCTAGAATATCGCTTCAAATACCAGCAACTCACCATCACTTGCTTTATCGATTTTGCAGCTGCCTTCAATTGATAGAGCAGCACCCTGGAAAGCGATGAAATGTGACGGTGTCCTAGAGAACATCATTCGACTTATAAAGGCATTTTTTAGCATACCCTGGCGCAAGTCTATGTATATGGTGAACAGAATCTTTCGAAACAAGAACTGGTCAGAGTTGAGTCATTTCCCCTATAATATTCAACTATGCGATAGATTAGATAATGGACATTACTTGTCAGCACTCAAGAGGTGTGCAAAGCAGTCCAGAGCATAGCATCACAGACCTTGAATACGGTGATGATGTAGTCCTTTTTGCTGCCAGTTATAAGGGAATGCAAATAATGTTAAACAATGTGTCAACAACTGCAGCGGGAATCTGACTCAGGATCAGTGTTAATAAGACGAAAGACTTTTCGTCCTATGTGCAAGAAGCTGATAAAATGCTTTTTTTTAATAAATTTATTGGTTAAGGAAGTGCATAATTTTAAATACCTTAGGTCCACTCTAATACCAAATGGACAGGCAAAAGATGATATTATAACTTGGATCACGGCAGTTAGAAATGCGTTCTTCGGGTTGACGAAACCTTTATGGAATCGTCGTAAAATCACCATAAAAACGAAAGTCCGCATCTATATAGCCGTGATTCGTTCGATTTTGCTATATGGCTCTGAGACATGGCCAATGGGAGTGGATGATATAAAGAAGTTATTTGTCTTTGACCACTCTTGTTTAAGGTACATTTTCCGTCGAGCGGGTAAAATATCACATGATCGCATCCACCTTCGTTCAAAAACCACCCGTATTAATAATGTTATCATAGAGCGTCGACTTCACTGGTTAGGGTACGTTCTACCACAGGAATTGACACATATTTCGTTACTTGCTAAACCCTGTGATGGTTAGCGTCATAAGCGAGGAGGATCAGTCAAGACCTGGACTGATAGAGTCTGGAAAGATTTCGGACATATAGGGAGACCAGTGATATATGGACTTATATGATGGAAAAAAGAACGACTTCTGTTACCACTAGCGATGGTGCAGAGTAACTTGAGGAGTCCTTTGCCATCGAGTAAACCTAACCAGTAATGGTATTAGAAGGACGGGGAAATAGCATGGGAATGGAAGAGAATACGGTTATGAAGTGGTATCGATAAGACTGCAGAAAATAAAGGAGATAAAGAAGAAGAGAAAGTAGAAGAGAAAAAGAAGATGCAAGAAACATCGTAATAGAGGAAAAGTGGAAGTCGCGAATTTTTTATTTTACCAGTCCTTTCTAAATAATCCTCATTTTCGATATCTTTGGCTTTAAGAGATGAGAGTCAACTGGCTAAAGTCAACACTACACCTAATCATCATTTTCAGGATCTTCTTAATAATAAATCAGAAATAGAGGGAATAAATCGCTGTTCAGAAGGACCGAATTTTCCTAAGGCCGAATTTCTTAACATTATTAGTGGATCAAATTTCGGATCGTAAATCAAATCTGAATGATTTTGGTTAGGAGTAAATGTGGATTTGGTAGGGAAGAAGAAGGGGGAAGGGAATTAAGTGGGTCGTTTGGCGTGGTTTAATGGAATCCTTTCGATTTTTAACTTTTACTGTGTGGACAAAGCTTTTATAAAAATTTTCCCCTAGTCGTAAATATTTTAATTCATCCATTAACAATGTAATTTAAGATTAAAATTAAAATATCATAATAATTTTTCTCAGTTGTAGTTTTTGTGTTCATTTGTTTTTTGGTATTTGGCATCAGAATTTCCATGAAGAAATGCTTCTTTCTAACTGCGCTAATCGTTTCTGGCTTGGCCAGGTCAGTTGGAGGCTTGGATCAGAGACCATTGGAGAGTAATCGGAGAGATAGCCAATAGTGCTTGCATGCTTTCGTTACAGGTTATTGTTGAAATGAGTTGTTAGTTGTGCTATGCAAAGTGGATATATGATATACTGCTCAAAAGATCGTTTCAAGCATCCGCATCTGACTGATGGCAGGAGCAAAAGTCATTTAAGGTCAGCGAATTATGGGTGCTATAAGTCCACCTATAATTCTGTCCTCTGGTGGCTTCTTTCTCATCCTAACAGATAATAAAGAAATGGTGAGTATTAGCCACCGTGGAAGTTTTCAAAGTAAATTAGGTACGAGTTCGAATCCGAGTCATTCTCGATTCTCGATGAGACATTGTGCCACTAAATTAATCTAATTAACGTATAATTTTATGCTCAATGATAGCTTTTTTAAACAAAATTAAAAATAGAGCTTCTAATAGCCTAAGGATAGTCTTCCACAAAGCCCAGATTTTATCATATGCTTCTGCCCCATCTTATGTTTCAAAACAACTTTGAAAGAATATGTTGCACTATTATATATATATATATATATATATATATATATAAAACTTTCACAGCATCCCATGCCTACAAGCTGTTTAGAAGATGATTTCATTGAACAGTTGGAGAAATTTTCAGTAGCAAAAGTTCAGTAACAAATAAATTGAGGTGTCTTCTTGTATCGCCTTCATACTGCTTTCACTGCCCAGAGTTTTCACTTATTTTATCTTTATTCATCCTTTATTCATTTCCTAATTCCATAATGGTCTTTTCGCAATAATAATAATTTACATCATCCATTCGCTTCATAATTCCATAATTCTTTTTTAAATTCTTCTTTCTTAGGTGAGTTGTGGATGAGATTATTGATTTCTATGCATATTTTTATCAGTGAAAATTCTGTGTTCTATATTCGATGCAAATAACAGTTGACAATCTTTTGTTTTTCTGTGATTTTTGCCGTTAATAATGACAACCATTTTTTATTACTTTTTCAAATTTTATATCATTTTATTTAAAAATTTGATCAGGCAAATTTATAGAGGGTAAATTTTTGTTTTTTATTTCTTATTTTTTAGATAAATTTGTGATTTTGAAGTCAAACACTTTTCAAATTTCAAATATTACAGATTATCGGTTTGAACGGTATTCAAATTCCAGTTCAAATTATTCAAGTTATAAATTAAATTTTAAATTGTTTCCCTTAGTTCACTGACTTATTTTGCTTTTTATTTATTATATACGAAAAAGTTAAATTTTTTTTTTTCATTTTTCGTTTTTCGTTCATTTGTGCGAGACAATTTTTTATTCGGTTGATTTTTTCGATTAATTTTTTTGTTTTGTCTTTCAATAAGCCAAATAGTTATTGCTTAATTTATCGAGTCGAGTTTCGAAGTTAGCTCTTCTTCCTGTAAATCCATTAGTGTAATTGCATTTCCAAACGAATCTGGCAAAAATTTCTTATTGTACTAATGAGACAAACTTGACCAGAAACGGTGAGTGCTAATCGCTCGTCTGTCGAAATTATAACCTAAGCTTTCAAGTTATCATTCTATCAAATTTCAGAAATATTCATCTTTTTTGTCTATCAATTTCAAGACTGTTTTTCAACTAGTTGATATGGACTTTGATCCTTTTTATTGCTGTTTGTTATTTTTCGAAGTGTCAGTACGAAAAGTGCTAATTTTTATTTCTTCCTTTTCCATGTTTCTTATCGTATTTTTGCACTTTTTACAGTGAAAAAATTTCATTTTTCGTCGGTTTTGTGAAAATTTTCTTCATTATAGATTATAAATTTGTTTCATTTTGCACACAACATCTTAAATTTATCCTACTTTCATGATATAAATTGGTCTAGTTCAAACATTTTGCTTCTAAATATTGGTAAATCTCTCTGATTGGTCAGCATCAATTGGCAATGGAAAAATAGTATCAGTTGTGTACCTAGATTTGGCTAAGGCTTTTGATACTGTTTCCCATAGCAAATTATTGGTCATTCTTAATAGTTATGGCATAACAGGGGACCTCTATAACTGGGTTTCAGATAAAAGATCGTTACCAGGCTGTATATGTTAAAAACACTCTTTCTGACATGACTTCTGTTAAATCAGGCGTTCCCCAAGGCAGTTGTATAGCGCCATTGCTATTTCTATTATATATAAATGATATCACCACAGTGGTAATAAATTCTACTATTTATCTTTATGCTGTTGATTGTAAAATTTATTATTCTCATGGTAGAACGGATAGCCTATCTCCACTGCAGGAGGACCTCAACAGAATAGTTGACTGGCTATATGACAGGCAAATTACCCTTTCCTTTCAAAAATGTAGCGTTCTTCACATCAAAGGATTTCTAAAGGATTCGATCTTCCTAACCTTTTTATAAATGGTAATTTAATCAATAGAGTCCTACACATCTCCGATCTTGGAATAATCATGGATGAAAATCTCGATTTCGATTTTCACTGCAGAACCATAGTAAAGAAATCATCAAGGATACTAAATTTTATTTTTCGTTCGTTTAAGAACAAAACTGAAAGAGTTTTCTTATCAAATTATACAAAGCATTCGGTCCTCTTCTTGACTACAATACTATATGTTACTCCCCTAGACATCGCAAAAAATAATCGAAGGACTCCAAAAATATTTTCTAAGATACCTCTCTCCTAATAAAAATTATAATTTTAATTATAAAAGAACACTTCTACAACATAACATGGATTCTCTCTCAGTTCGTAGAATTAAACTAGATTTAATTTACGCATATAAAATTCTGTATGATTATGTTAAACTAGATTGCTCGAAATATTATAACTTTGGACTAAATTTGAATCCAACAAGAACTAATGGCTTAAAATTACTAAAACCTATATGCAAAACTAAACTAAACTAAACTAAAACTAAACTAAAACTAAACTAAGGACTCATGACTTCTTTATTCGTACCATTAACTACTGGCACAAATTACCGAACGATGTAGCTTGTGCGTCATCCTTAGCTGTCTTTAAAAAAAGACTAGATAATATCATTTACGATATTATTTAAAAACAAAAAAAAAAAGAGAAGAGTTTACACCAGGCAAGAACTGCAGGAAATGGGAAATCTCGATTTTATCTTCAGGTTATATATGTTACTTCGAATTGTACTATATTATATTGGTATGTAATTTCCTCTTTAAATTGTTAATTTTTGTCGTATTGTTTTATATTAATTTTGTTTATGTTATATTTTTTTTTTCTTTTCTTTTTTTTGTGCTTTCTTTTTCTGTTATCTTAATTGTTATTATTAATACAAGCACATGGCATTGTCGCCCTGCTTGGCTGGTTATCAATAAATATTTAAAAAAATTTTTACATTCGATACTTAACCACTTATTATTGCGTTTGCTTTTTTAACAGATAAATGTTTTAGTTAATAGGTGTTTTTTAGGTATAAAATAGTTTTTTAGGTGATTAAAAGAAAATATAAATAAATCAGAAGTGATAATCTGAGCAGCATTCGATATCAATAAATTTTAATACATTGTGGTCCGTTTTGTTTAGAGCCTTTCTATGGTTATCGAAATTAAACCCAGTAATTACGGTTAGAGAATAAAGATAAATGAATAAAATGTTAGTTTAGTTTAGTTTATTAGTTGACTGCTATTAAATACCGAAATTTTGAATGTTTTTTTTGTTTCCAGTATTTGAGTGATTGATTATCGAAATTATTAATTGCCAAATAATCGAAATTTTTGATTGCTTTTCCACAAATTTCTGTTCAGTAATTTAAGGATATATGCATATATATTTATTCGCTTCACTCCCTGCATATAATTAATTTTTTGATTTTGCAAATAGCGAATCGAGCAATTCTCTGGGAATTCCATGTTGCATATTTCATTGTTTGCATATCAATGCAAAACAGCTAAAGAATTGATTCTCGATGATAGCTAATTTATTAACTAATTATTAAAATTTTCTCATTCTTCTGGAAATCCAAAGTTTCTTTATTTTTTGAAGAAGAATATTTTGGAATTTTAACTTTGAATCTTACGAAATTCTATGATCTTACGATAAAAACGAAAATCTTTCTCAAAAATTCTTTTTGCTTCGTTCTACTATTTTATTTTTTCTAATTTGTCGATCGATATATACTTAATAATTATTTATTATTCTAAAGGCCGATGAATGGCAAAATTTTGTTGTTCACTGGAAGATTTGTCGAAAGAGAAAATATGGGAAAGTTGTCTTTGGTCCATAAAATATTAAATAGTTAAAAATATTTCTGTAATAATATTGCAGAATATTATTATTAATAATATTATTCTGTAATATTAATTCAGTGAAATTAACATCTGCGAAATGCTGAAAAAATCTTGTTTTTTAAATTTAATTTGTCGGCAAATGATGCGAAGATTGCGTTTTTTATTTATTTCTTTCATTTTTAATTCATTTTAAAATCGTTGAATATTATTTAAGCGACTTAGAATGTTAGTTAAATTCTGATTTTTCCCTTTTCCTTTAATAGATTCTATTGCAAATATCTAAACAGAATTTGCGTCAAAAAATTTCGAAGTTTTAGACGAATCGTTCAGTGGTTGATCCGAAACGAAATTTCCTCAACCAGTGATTTCAAGGTGATATAAATAGATATAAATGTAAATACAAATATATATATATATATATATTGCTCATTGTTCGCTGGTTTCTGTTTTATGTAGAAGATGTTGAAGATATACGTTAGTGCTCGAACAGTGCAGGCCATTACGTTTGGCTTCGCTGACCACAGAGGCGTTTGCTAGTCTTTCCTAAGCTTTTCTAAAACAAGTTCATTTCACATTCTATATTTGACTGCTTGTACAACGTCGTGTGACCATTTCAATATTTTCGTTGTTGTTTCCTTTGAAAATAAACCTGTGAGATCGTTAAGTAATCATCGAATCGGACTAAGAAAATTTCCACGTTTCAGGTATTTTTTTTGTACTGAGACTCTTGAAACGTAAATATCGATTAAATCCCTCATTTTTTTATATGCTCACTTAATGGATTTTCTTTGCTGCATATTTCAGTCGATATGCCGACAGTTGCAAATTTGTGAGGGCGATTATTGACTGATTCCGGTGGTAGGTTAAGGGTCGTTCAATCATCTGATCTTCATTATTCAGCATTTCCAATAATTTTTTGAAATGAAGTTCATGCTATGTGTTTATTGGTCTATTGATATTTAGCTTTTATATGCATTTATTTATATCCATTTTTGTTTCTTTTTTAAATATTTTATATTTATTAGCGGTTTGTCAGTTTAAAGTTCCTTTATTAAAACTATACAAATACAAAAGTTTTATTTTTGTAAATATCTTTCTTTATATCTTTAATTCTTGTTGAATCCGAAGTAATTTTTTGGTCATTTTTATGCACTTTTCATTTTTGTTTCGACGTTTCGATATATCGAAGTTCGATTGGAACGTTCGGCAAGTTCTGTCGGCACTCATTTCGACTAATGCATCGTTACTTTATCATCCAAGTTTTTCAGAAAAGTTAAAACGACAGATGTTATCGGTATTTCTGTCGAAAGTAGTTGTTCTAGTTTGCGGGACTCTTTATCCTGCTTATCGCAGTTATAAAGCCGTCAGAAATAAAGTTCATTTATTTTTTACATTTTAAATAGTTTCTGTGCGTTGAGTGTGCATTTCCATTCTATAGCAAAACCGAATGTTTCTTGTAATATCACTGAAATTGTCTAATTCCTGGATGAATTTCAAAAGTTTTTAATAGGTTTTATTCATTAACAATTTGTGTGATATTTCTACCAGTTTTAGGATGTAAGGGAATATGTTAAATGGATGATGTATTGGATAGTTTTTGCTTTGTTTACTGTCGCAGAATTTCTTGCCGATATATTCATATCGTTTTGGATGCCTTTTTACTACGAATTAAAAATTTTATTTGTTTTATGGATGCTAAGCCCATGGACGAAAGGTGCTTCGATATTATATCGAAAGGTTATTTAAGTCATTCAGTTTGGCACTATTATTACTTTGTTAATATCATTTTTTTTGCTCCAAATATCACTTTATAAATCGCATTATTTTCGTTATATGTTCATTGTATGATGTTAATATTCACATAAAATCTGCCTTTTTTAAGTGGGTTCATCCGACGCTGTCAAGACATGAACGTGGCATTGATTCAATGCTGGAACAAGCAAAATCTGAGAGTTATAATCAGGTGATTAAAATTGTTAATTAAAATAAATTTAAACCTACCATTTGATTTTAATAGCTTTTGTTCTTGAGTCATTTATTTTTGCTTTATAATTTTTGAATAAATTATAGAATTATTTGGTGTGAATTAAAGTTTCATATGAGAACGATCAGAAATGATTGTTAAAATTATTAAAATTACAAAAATTTTAGGTTTTGCGTCTGGGCAGCAGAGGTTTAATATGTGCTCGCGAGGTGATTGCAACAGCGGCATTGCGTGGACAAGCTCAGTTGGTTGAACAGATTCAACGTTCTTATAGCACTAATGATATTAATAGGTTAAAATGTATTTTCATTAATAAGATAAAATTTGTTTTGACGATTTAGGCTTCAAAACATCGAAAATTTACATTTAAAAAAAATTTCTTTATAGGGAACAAGGAACGACGCGTCACAATCGTATAGTGGAAATTGAAGAAGAAGATGAGGATTTAAATTCACGGCATGAAGGCAGTAATGAAGATACACATTCAGTGTGTTAATTCATTCAGTATTAAGTTATTCTATTTCATCTTTCATTTTTTATTGTTCAATATTTCTTAGATATTTTGATATTTAAGATGGAAGGAGGTTCGCCTCAATCGCCGTCGCGATCAAATCGTGCTAAACGTCGTAAATCACCTACTGAATCGATATCAGAAACCATTTACAATACAATGCCTCGTAGGTCTACTCGTCAGCACAAATGATTTTTATATTCTACATATATATTCATCGTAGAATATATACTAATATTCTAATACAAATTCAGTTAATTTGAACACTGAAAACGTAATATTAAGTCAAAGAATATGAAGGTGAAAGAAACTTTTCAAGAAAAAACTTTAGAATCGATGGTTTTTTTGAGACATTATTGTACAATAGGCATGAAATTTGAAATTAATAAAATTTCTATATATTTATTATCGTAAAATTTTATTTTTTTTACTTGGCCATTGATTTATAATTTCTCAATATTTGCTCAATAATCATCCGACTGGTTTTGGAACTGTTGAAACGGTTCGGTTCCTCAGAAATTGGGAATTATCAATAAAATTTCTATTTTGTATTTATGAAGAGTATTTTCTTTTTCTAACAGCTCTCATCATTACTGGTTTGGCTGGATCCGATAGCCGAAAAAGTATTTTTAGTAATATTCTTTTGAAAAAGATATATCAATCATTACTTTCATTACTTTTAGTGTTACGTTCAGGGGTTCCTATTTAGACAAATAAGATTTGTAAGAGATTTGTTTCTTTAGCAGCAGGGAAATTATGCCTGCCAACTGTTTGTTTATATTTCTTGTGTACTATATTTTTTTTTGTGCCTCCGTTCAAATTTTGCAATTTTTATTTATTTTTTTTTCGAGCTTTTGTGGATGTTTAGTATTAAATAAATTGAATTGAATTAATGCAAAATTTCTAATTTTTCGTTCATTTCATTTTTTCTATATTATTTAGTAGTTTTAACGTTTTGCGCAGTTTTTGCTTTGTTTATATTACAACAATTTTTAGCTGTGCAGCGTGGTAGTGGTTGCGCTAGGAAGGGTTTTGTGCTGCAAAGAACCGCGAGCAACTTTGAAGGGAAGAATCGTTCAAAAATTTCTTGATTTTGAAAATTGGTCGGCCTTCAGCTTCTTATTAAAACTATGTGGACGACTAAAATGTTTGCTCAGTTTAGAGTAAGGATCATGCGACAACTCTGGGTAGCAGGCTAGGCTCCTATTCTTCGAGTGGCTTTAGTGGCCGAAAAGCGTTTCGCAAAGATATGGCGGAGTTAGGTAGAAATAAAGTGGTTGTTATTTATGAGGGAATTGTAAAGTGGAGTGTGGAAGAATAAAAGAAAGCGAAGGGAGAAAGTGAAGGATTGTCGTTGACGTTGTTATCATTGTGGAAAATGGAAGGGTCCTTAAATTTTATTTTCTTCTCTTCTAACGGCCCTCACCATTAGTGGTTAGGCTGGCTCCGCTGGCTACAAAGGCGTAGGTTTCCAAGCTGCTCGGTCCGACGCCATCGCTAGTAGTAGTAGAAGCCATTCCTTTTCCCATCGACTAAGTCCCATACATCGCTGGTCCCCTATCCGTTCACCACTGCGATTTGATATTTAACGTTCGCGAATCCTCTCCACTAATCATTTATCAATCCTTGAAACAGATTGTTCCATAAATATCTGTAAACTCGTGCAATCATTTTATTTGATTTTCTTCTAAATTTTTATGTCCAAATGGTTAGATTATTATTTCGAGTACCGTGGATTATTCTCTGCTGTGCCAGCAACAATAAATCTTTCAGCAGCGTAATGAGTGGAAACCAATGGAATAACTGTAAATGAATTGTTCTTCGTTCGAATTTTCGTGAAATTGCTGAATATGCGGACTAACAGATTTCATTTCCATTATTTTCATACCGATTTCGTTTCCATAAAATCCGTTTTCTATTATTTTATTTTGGCTTTTTGATGCATTTTTTTTTCAAAATACCGATGCAGATTAATTGAAAAGAAGATGGTTGGTAATTTATCAAACGATAATGAAGACGGATTGAATCGACTGGAAGGTTCAGTGAAAATCGCAGGTGGCTTAGAAATACGTAAGAAGAAATCGAATGATGATGCTATTTTCAAGCATCCAGGTGTTTCCCGTTTTGGTCTTGATGTGCGAGTACGAATGCACCGCGAAGATTCTGCAAAAAAGCGAAGAATTGAGCGAGAATCACCTGGTGGTTTATCAGATAGTACAAGGCGACATATTGAGAGGCAAAAATTTTTTATTCATCCTTTTTTAAGGAATAATCTCCTTTACACAAAAATTCCATCTTCCTTCTTTTTTCTTTTTCTTAATTTATTTTTTAAATTTAATTTGTGGGAATTCACAAATTATTGAAAAATTACTTTTTTATAAAAGCTATTTTTACTTCCATCGAAAAAAATTGATTTGAACTGTTCAGAGTGTTTGTGGATAAATTTATATTTCAAATTTAAATTTATGCATATACTTCTAGTTATGTCGTCGAAAAACACAAAGGTGATCGGCGCGGTCTAATCGCAGATAGTAGAGAAAATAGCAAAAAACATAAGCCTGATGGTAACTCGAAAGAAAAAGGTGAGTGTAGCAGATCGAAAAACAGTCAACGAAGAAAAAATGAACACCGATCGCATGTGTCAAAAAGTTTTTATGAGGCGCAAACACCTCGTTTTAAGGTATAAAATTTGATTAATTTTTTATTCTTGCTTTTTGGACTTCTTTGATTGATTTAATTTGAATTCTGTGTTTGATTTTAGGTGCCAGATACTCCATCACATTCAGCATGGGATGATGACGATTCTGAGCTAAAATTCCGCAGCTCTGATTTCTCTTGGGAAATTAACACACCGTATTTAAGTAGAAGCAATGATGGTACTGAGCGAAGTATTTCAAGTGTATGGAGAATGGAAAGAAATCGAGAAAAGAGGCACAATGATCAAAAAAGGTTGGCTTTTGCTGTGCTGCTCTTTCGTTTTCTGGAGTAATAGCATTGCTTTGGAAAATTCATATTTAGCACTTTTTTAAGGTATCGCAGTGACACTGTTAGGTCGATAAAAGAAGAAGGAGATTTAATTCCAGAATTTCGGAATGATTACGAGAGAGCTGAATGGGAAAAGGAGCAACAGAAATTAGAAAGGGAGTGGTATGATAATGATCAGGCCTACGATGAAGAGAACAATCCTTTTGTGCAGGTTAGATTGCTTTTTCATTTTTTTAAAATAAAGATAAAAAATTCAGTTAGTTTCTGGAATTTTTAATGCCTTCTTTATGTTACCAATTTTTTTTCATTTGGATAATTCTTTTTAACTGTGGTATTATTTCTAGATTTCACAAGAATATATCGAGAAAAAGGAAAAACAGTGGAGCCAAAAGCATGAAAAGCCTCGACTCACCGTGCGACAACAACAAATAAAGAAAGATAATGAAATGTGGGAAAATAATCGACTTGCTAGATCAGGTTTTTTGGGATGCTTAAATTGCACTTTTCTCGAAAAATTTAGAGAATTAAAATTTAAAGTCGTTAAAATCGAATTTTTTTTGGTCGACAATCGGCACTTTTTAGGTGTGGTAACGTTTGATGATCAAAATGAATTTCTTGATGATGATAAAGACGAAAACCGCGTTACCCTGTTGGTGCAGAATGTTGTGCCTCCTTTCCTTGACGGCAGATTTATATTCACTAAGCAAAGTAAGCCAGTGATACCAGTCAAAGATGCCACATCTGATTTAGCTGTTGTTGCCAGCAAAGGTAGCAAAGTCAGTTTTCATTTTTTGTTATATATTTTTTATACGTTGTTCTTTTTTGTCTTTTTTTTTTCAAAAAGAATACTCTTATAGGTGGTACGATTGTGGCGCGAAACGGAAGAAAGAAAAAAAGCCCAAGAAAAACATTGGGAATTAGCTGGCTCTAATCTTGGTAATATAATGGGTATAAAGCCAAAAACTGAAGATGTTGTTTCTGACGATACTAGTTACAAGTATATTTCTTTATTTTCTTGCAGTTGCAGTTTATTGCTAGAGATGCCCAATATATTATATTTAAAAAAAATTTTTTTTAAATGAGCCAACTTTAGGGATTCACAGAAATTCGCTACTCATTTAAGTTCATCAGAAGCTGTCTCAGATTTTGCCTTAGAAAAAACAATGAAAGAACAACGTGAATATTTACCTGTATTTGCCGTTCGTCAAAAACTTTTGAATGTTATTCGTGATAATAGCGTTGTCGTTGTGATTGGAGAAACCGGAAGTGGTAAAACTACTCAACTTACACAGTACTTGTTGGAAGATGGCTACGGTGAACTTAATTTTTCATTATGGTTCAGTTATGGTTCTGTTGAGCGATTTTTTTTATATGTCCTCACCATTACTGGTTAAACTCGCTGTATTTGTTTGTCGCACCGGATAAATACGTTAGAGAGTCCCTTGATAAGCCACCAGCAACACGCATCGAATTGTTCAACAACCTACTGAACCATTCTATTCCTCTGCTGAATGAATTGTTTTATCTAAATAATTAATTTTGGTCTTCAGGTAAATTTGGTATAATTGGATGCACACAGCCTCGACGAGTGGCCGCAATGTCAGTTGCAAAAAGAGTATCTGAAGAAATGGGTGTCGAATTGGGGCAGGAATGTGGCTATGCGATAAGATTTGAAGATTGCACATCTGAAAATACTCGCATCAAATATATGACTGATGGTATCCTTCTAAGAGAATGTCTAGGTGATTCCGATCTTGATCAATATTCCGCCGTCATAATGGATGAAGCGCATGAAAGATCGCTGAATACAGATGTGCTTTTTGGGCTCCTTCGTGAAGTTATTGCTCGCCGTGCTGATCTAAAGCTAATTGTAACATCAGCAACTATGGATGCTGAAAAATTTGCTAATTTTTTTGGTGGGCATACACCTTGTTTCACCATTCCCGGTCGTACTTTTCCAGTAGATATTTTTCATTCACGAACAGGTTTGGAAGATTATGTAGATGCCGCAGTGAAGCAAGCAGTGAAAGTTCACCTTGGTGGAATAGAAGGTGATATTTTGATATTTATGCCTGGTCAAGAAGATATCGAAGTGACATGTATAATGATAAAGAATCAGCTAGAAGAATTAGATGAAGCACCTCCACTTGCAGTGCTTCCAATTTATTCTCAATTGCCGAGTGATCTTCAAGCTAAAATATTTCAGAAAGCTCCTGGAGGTATTCGAAAATGTATTGTAGCTACAAATATCGCAGAAACTTCACTTACTGTCGATGGCATTCTTTTCGTAATAGATCCGGGATATTGTAAATTGAAAGTCTTTAATCCTCGAATCGGCATGGATGCACTTCAAGTTTTTCCAGTATCGCAAGCATCTGCCAACCAGCGGGCTGGTCGCGCTGGTCGAACAGGTCCTGGACAGTGTTATAGGTTGTATACAGAACGACAATTCAAGGATGAAATGTTGGTGGCAACTGTCCCTGAAATACAAAGGACTAACTTGGCAAATGTTATTTTGTTGCTTAAATCATTAGGTGTTGAGGATCTTTTAAAATTCCATTTCATGGATGCACCTCCACAAGACAATATGCTCAATAGCATGTATCAATTATGGACTCTTGGAGCTTTGGATAATACTGGCCGTTTGACAAAATTAGGTCGAAAAATGGTGGAATTTCCATTAGATCCAACGCTGTCGAAAATGTTGATCGTGTCGGAAAGTATGGAATGCAGTGACGAAGTGCTAACGATTGTTTCCATGCTGTCTGTCCCAGCTATATTTTTCAGGCCTAAAGGTCGTGAAGATGATGCTGATGCTAAAAAAGAGAAATTTCAAGTTCCAGAAAGTGATCATTTATCGTTTCTTAATGTTTATTTACAATGGCGATTGCATAAATATTCCACAAAATGGTGTAACGACAATTTTATTCATGTAAAAGCCATGCGAAAAGTTCGTGAAGTTCGCGCACAATTAAAAGATATCATGGAAGAACAAAAAGTCAAATTAATTTCATGCGGTACGGAATGGGATATTATTCGCAAATGCATTTGTTCAGCATATTTTCACAATGCTGCTCGTCTAAAAGGAATTGGTGAATATGTGAATGTGCGAACGGGTATTCCATGTTTTTTGCATCCAACTTCTGCTCTTTTTGGAATGGGATTTACACCTGATTATGTAGTTTATCATGAACTGGTGATGACAGCTAAGGAATATATGCAATGTGTAACGGCTGTTGATGCAGTTTGGCTTGCCGAACTCGGGCCTATGTTTTATTCGATCAAAGAAACTGCAACCAGTCGAATGGATAAAAGGTTACAAACAATACGAGAAGTACGAAATATGGAGGAAGAGATGAAACAGGTCTTAATATCTGTCATTTTTTTTGATTCAAAATTATTTTGAAAAAATTTGTGATCATGTTGTTTTGTTTAAAAAAAATTATGAAATGTGGATGTTAATGGTAGATGTAGAGTATGAATTATAAAAAAAGCGGGCTTCAGGCAAGCAGCGAAATATTGGAACGCCAAAAAATAGCCGATCAAAAAAAAACATCTCAAAGGAATATCGTCGAGCCTGGCAAAACAAAATTACCACCTTCAGTTCGTTCGACAAGATTTGGTATGTAATTAATGGTTATGTCCTCCTATGATCATCCTTGTTTATTTTCGTAAAAATTTTATCTTCAATCGATTCTTTATTTATTCTATGGCGGTTGTAATTATTTTATATATAATTATAATTATTTGATCCAGTTTTGCTTAATAAAAAATTTTTTATGTAATAAGCTGAAATGCATTTAAAGATACAATCTGTTTCGTTGCTGCAGTAATATACTTAAATTTTTTCGGAACAGCGGAAAAATTAAAATTGAGGATGTGAGTTTCGCATTATATGCATAATTTTTATTCAGTTTGAAATGGTTGAATAATCATTTTATAAAAATTTTCTTTTTTTTATAGGTAATTCCTTTTGACAGGATTTTTGATGAAGTTGGTTTCATTCATTCCAAATGTGTTAATTTTCTTATTTCTTTGCTTGCTGGCAAATATTGCTTCTGGTAGATTTTTTATGGTGTTGTAGAAAGGATCAGTTTTTTTTCTTTTTTGATTTCAAGGAAAAAAAAGTGGTGCAAGGCTCTCTGAAAATAGGATTATTTGATGAGGATTCTCTCCTAATTAGGATCCAACGAACTTTTCAGATAAGGAAAGGTAAGCTTTGAGAGTTTGGTTCTTTATCGGGTTTTAAAAATAAGAAATCTCTATCTTTATTAACATTATCGATTTAATGAATAGTTTTGCTAAATATCGACGTTACACATGGATTATGAAATTTAAGCTGTAAATGAGAAAGTAGTTGGATTGAACGATTTTTTTTTAGTTGCTTATCTCTGACATTGGTTCATGTTCTTTTTAACAGAAAATGGCTCCCTTATGAATAGTCAAATGGATCGCGTACCTGATCATATTATAAAAACGATCTTTGAATATTTATCGGATAACGATCGTCTTTCGTTTGCATTTGCTTCATCTCGATGGTTAAACCTGGCAAATCAGTCGAAAGTTTTATCAAAAATAATAGAACTTCCGATTGAAATTTCTCCCATTCCGCCGAAACCTTTATTATATTTTCGAAACGCTTCTGTCGCAATTGTATCAGTTTATTCGAATTGGCCTCGTCCTTATATCCACTCACAGTTAGCGTTATTGGAAAAGTTGCTATATTGTGCATGTTCGCAGCTTAAAGAAGTTTCAATCCAGCATTATGGATTAACGGATGAATGCATGGATGAAGTAATTTTTTTCATTCTTGTAATTCTATAAATTTTTTCCAAAGTTGAATTTAATGGAAAAATTTAAGCTCAATGCAAAATAGATATTTCGAAATATATTTTTCTGAAAAATTTTAGAAAAACATTGGCTATTCAAATATGATTAACGTTGAAGATTGTGTTACCAATTATATCCTTCGTGATGCACCTGTCTCTCTTCGTATTTTTCGACTCACTGGTTTAAATTTATCACGAATACGTCCGTGGACGATCGCTCTTCTCGCTAAATTCAAGAATATTGAACAATTTATTTTCGCTGATATCATTTTACCTAGCGATTTCGAACCTTCATTTCTTCGAGCTTGCCAGCTATCTTTTCAGACATTATCAATAATCTCAATTGTAAATAGCGATGTGGTCAATTTATTTTTCTTCTACCAATCTTACCTCTTAGTTCATTGATAGCATCATCATTTAATTTCGATTCCTTCATGAAATTCTCAACATTCTGAAAACTTCTCCATATAAATTGGTTACGCGCGTTTTTACATTTTTTTGCTGTTATATAGGAAATGGTATCTCTTCTCTTTACCACTAGAGTCTTATGTTATCGCTTAATCAAATTTTTTAAATTTTTTCATTTTAGATAACCGATAAATTTGCAAGAGTAATTGCCAAAAATTGCTGTATGTTGCAATCTTTCGATGTCAGAAGGTGTCGGAATGTTACAGCCCTATCAGTAGTCGCATTTTTGGAACATGCACATCGCCGAAACATTGATATGATACAACTACATGTTTCATTTACTGCTTTTGATTTTAATACAGTAATTTTTTTCTTTTTTTTCTTTAGATTTTTAAATTTGATGATTCAAAATTTTTAACTTTTTAACTTTTTAAATTTTTAACTTTTTTCAAATCCATTGTTATAAATTTTATTATAATCTTTTCTTTCTAACAGCTTATTGGATGGTTGGCTACACTATTTACAAAGGTAAGAAGTCTCCAAGCTTTTTGATCCGACGTCATCATTGACAGCAATAGAAGCTATTCCTTGTGTCCATATTCCGTTGGTCCATCTATATATCCAGAATTTCCTGACTATATCAGGTCTTGATTGAGCCTTCTTCGCTTCTAATGCCATCCATCACAGAGTTTAGCAGGTAACGAAATGTGTATTAGCTCTTGTGGTTGGCGCCGAAGAACCTAACCAGCGAAGGCAGCGCTCTGTGATAGTATTAATGCAGGAAGTATATGAGCGAAGATTGATGAAGGAATCCGTAAAATGTGCCTTAGGTATGGTTGGTGAAAGGTAAATAATCTTTTAATATCCCTCACTCCCTTGTATCACAGCCATGTAATAAGATCGAGCGATTTTGCAGCTATATAGAGGGGAACTTTTTTATGATATCGCGACGGCTTTATAAAGGAGAAAAAGTGGACTTTTTTGGCTAACAGGAAGAATATATTTTTAGTTACCATCGTTATAATTTCGTCTTTACCTGTTGGGGTCCGAGAGAAAGTCTAGCTCTTCCATAACCAGCATTGGATTGGTAAAAATAGGTATTTTTATCGTATTTGTAGATATTTTACCAGCTTCAGGTATGCAAGTTGAAAAGAATAATATTTACATTGATTGTGAGCTCGACTTTTGTGGCATTTGTCGAGTTGAATACATTTTTAACATTATTAGCATTTCGTCATAAGTGTCAACAAAAAGGACTGCATTATCAGGGTATTCGAAATCTATGTTTTGTTGCTCCTGACTTATTTATACGTCTCTTAAGTGCTGATAAGCGCCATGTATTATCCTTTTAATCGCGCAGTTGGATACTGAGGGGAAAGAATGCAGCTTTGTAGAGAAATAAATCTTCGAAAGGTTCACTCCCCCATGAAAACCTATATTGCTGAAAACCGGCCAAGCAGGACGACAAACATCATGTGCTTGTATTAATAATGACAGTTTAATAACAAATGATAATTAATGATAAAAAAAAGGAAAAGAAAATGTAACAAAATGTAACAAAAATTAACAATTTAAAGAGAAAATAAAGAGGAAATCACAAAATAATATAATATAGTACAATTAAAAGTAATTTTATTATATAATCGGATGGCAAAAATCGAGATTTCACACTTCCTGCATGATGCGAACTTTATAAATAATAACATAAATAATATTATCTAATTTTTTTTTTAAATATAACTTAAAATGGCACACAAGCTCCATCGTTCTATAATTTATTCTAGTAATTAATAGTACGGATAAGAAATCATGAGTTCTTAGTTTAGTTTTGCACATAGGTTTTAATAATTTTAGCCCATTAGTTCTTGTTTGGCTCAAATTTAGCCAAAAATTATAATTTGAGCAACCTTGTTTAACATAATCATACAGAATCCTATAAGTATAAATTATGTCTTGTTTAATTCGACAAACTGACAGAGAATCCAGGTTATACTGTAGAAGTTTTATTTTATAATTAAAATTGCAATTAGGAGAGAGGCGTTGTATAAAATATTTTTGGAGTCCTTCAATTATTTTTTTTGAATTACGATATCTCGGAGAGTAACATGTAGTACTGTATTCAAGAAGAGGCCGAACGAACGCTTATTTTGATAAGAAAAATAATTCAGTTTTGTTCTTAAACGAACGAAAAATAAAATTTAATCAATTGAATCGAAGACTGCAAGATCAATGAAATAGATGGGTTATCGATATTTGAAATGAAGAACGATGGAGAACATTTGATAACATTCGGACTAAAGGCCATCTTTTCCACAGGAGTTGTATTGGCCTTAAGTAGCTGAGATTATTTCTTGTTCTGCTGGCAGTTGCAGCCATATGGTTCGGCGAGCAGTTCAATTATATCTGGGATAAAAGATGGCACTTCGCGGTTAAGTTAAGTGGCCATAAAGAATTCTTTCATCTTTACTTTACAAAATGATCTTTAAAGCACACCATTACTATCCCTTTTCATTTCCTCGTTCTTCTGCTTACAGTCACTTTATGAAAGAAATGAAGGCGGAATAATCGAGCAATCGAGTCTTCAAGGCACAGTAGCGATTTCTTTCCCGTACTGCTGCTTTTGCATTTCTTCGAAGCATCCGATAGCCAGGATTTCCTAACTTTCGGTAGTCCTTTCGGGCAAATGGATAATTGCTTTCGATAACCAATTAGTGCATTTCCTACTGGGAAATCGTAGCGTGAAAGTGGCTGGCTTTTGGAGATATACATTTAGCATTCATCTGCCGTTCCAGAAGTGTCCTGATAATGTTTTCGATGTTGGAATCATATATTAGTAGCAAAAAGTTCATGCTTTTCGGCAAAGCGAAGAAGACGTTCTCCAATAGCGATTATACTTCAGTGCTACATTTGCCAATTACCGAATTCGTCATGGCGATGTCATAACCTGCATGCGCATTCCAATCTCTCGATTATCATCTTTCACATCATCTTTCTGTAGAGATATTCTTAGCTTATATACAGAGATATATTATTGAAGTTCCTCTTAGAACTTATCCATTTTGTGGTCATCTATTAATAAAGTTGAAGTATATATATTGAAGATCGACATATTGCAGAATTTTCGTTTGAAGTGATATGAGTTACACATTTGTTTACTTGCTTCCACTCAATCATAATGGATCGAATTTTTTCAGACGTAACGAGTTATCCGAAATCCCACAATGATAGAGTTAATACCTCTACTTGGAGCCAGATTTAAAACTTACCTCTGACGAACAGTCTACATCGATATTTAGAAAGAGTGTGGACAATGGACGGTTTTCGTGCAATATCCATAGATATTCTGACGTTCCATGTTGCTACGGCTAACTCCTCGCCGCACGTACAGAGAACCAGAGATGGTTTAACCCTGGCCCTACATCTTATTCTCAAGCCTTAGAGTCTTTTTATTGCTCTCGAATTGCATACTTATCGCCTATACCACGGGACCGGTGTACCATTGCACCAAGACCAGACCATAAAATCACTTGGGAATAGAGTTATTGGTGTTACTGATGAGTCCCCAGCTACCCAAGTTTTTGAAATCAGGTTTTACTCGTCAAGGATAAAGATAAAATTAAGGGAGAAAAATAAAATAAACAATAAATAAAATAAAATAAAAATAAAATAAAACAAAAAGAAAAATAAACATAAAAATAGAATCTAATATAATCTAAATAAGAAGTTGAGCTAAGTTTGTTTTTTATTTTTAGTTTTTATTGCTCCTGTTTTATTTTAATTATATACATTTTATCTTTTATTAAAAAAAAACAGCTTATTTTCACCATTATTACGTAATACATAACAATCTTATGTATTGGTACATTTTAATATTTTAATTTGTTATTAAAATACAACCCTTGAATTAATAATATTCCTTGATTTGGTATTTTTTCAGTTTAAGCGTTGTTTAAATTCTCCGTTGTTATCATCTGGTAATCACTGGATACCTCATTATGTTCGCGATATACGTTCTGCTTCGCGTGATGCACTTTACATCGAAAATCGTATAAAACGATTTCTCGTGATTATTGTATTTATCTAATTTTTAAATTTTTCTGTTTCTACAATTCTAGCCAACTCCCTAGTTATCAATTTTTTCTCATTTTATTGCTGATCATATTAAACATTTTGCATCATAAGCATCAATGAAAATTCAGGCAAATGATGTCGATATCTTCATTTTATCTTTTCAGATTTTACTTATCGAAGTAATTTTTTTTACATGTTCTTTCATTTGTGGTGCATTAGAAGTAAATTAATGAATTATTTTTTGATTTTTAAGGAATCTGTCCGTTTTATAATGTTTGTTCGGCATAGCAAATCGGATTTTTAAATATTGGAAAATGCACAAAAAAATGGATTAGAATCAGTGAGTGCTATATGAATGAAATAATGCTAACGAGCTATTTTTGTCGAATCTTAAGCATTCATTTACAGATATAACATGTGACTTTCCTCAAATTTCAAATTCTGCACTGAACGCTTGAATTTTGCAAATTGCAACCAGCCAATAAATTTGTAGCAAAAAGTCTTCCAGCACCAAATTTATTTCTGATTTATTTTAAAGGTCACATAGTGCTTATTTTAAAGCAATTTTATATCTAATATGACTAAAGTTCTTCGTTTCAGTTTATGATAAGTACTGAAAGTTAAATTTTCAAGTATTAAATGCTGATAATTAGATAAAAAATGTAATAAACCAGAATTTTTCCCAAAGTATACCAATATTTCATATCATCTAATTAATTAAAAATAACAGTTAATGGCGGATACAAATATTGTAATATTGTGATATTGTAATATCGCGGTTTCATTTCTCTTTCTTGCCACCATAGAACATATATTACGACTAAGGCTTAATTTCATGAATTATGGCAAACTTGGCACAAGAAAAAATAAAAAAAGAATAATTTACTTTTTCATGAAGTGCCAGTAGCTTATAGAAATTTGTGTTATGTAATGTTCGGTGTTGCTCTTATAATCTTATAATCATAGCCACCACCACCAATTTCCAAATTTTAACGGATTAAAATTTAAAATTTCAATTTGCCGTACTAAAAATATTAAGTATATCCACTTTTTTGATGTCTCGAATTGGGGCCACGTATTTTTATTTGAATGTTATGTCAACTGTCCTATACGTGCTGTTCTATTCGCCGTGATACAGAGTCTTTTCGCTAAGATTATAAGCTACGTTTAATTTTTTTCGGCTGATTTAGACTGTAAGATTCGACTTGGAACTGTTTGATTTTTGACACCTAGCACTTCATGAGTTTAAACTGAGACATCGAGTGACATCTCGAGATATGCAAAAAATTTTTAGTGAATTTTTTGTTTCTAACAAAAGAAAAGAACATTGCAAAAGTTGCTCGTGAAGTCCGAGAATATGAGTGTCGAGGATGCAACATATTGCGGAATGTGGCCCTCAAGTTCTGCAAATGAATTCCCAAGGAAACGATAAAGGCTAACCCCAGAGTTTAGCGCAAAGTTTTGGAGTTTCACTTGGTATTATGTGGAGTCATTCGCGCGCAATGTGGAAAAAGAAACGCCACGAATTGACTGAGCACCAGATAAGGATACATTTATTGGCTGTTACTGATATGGAAAAGGATGAAAGAGATGTCCAGCTGAACTTGCCAGAAGCATCGCTCTCAAAAACAATGACTGCAGTAGCTGGAAAGCGCGTGGGACATAGGATGATAAATGACGATTCTCTGCTACCTTCTGTGGTCGATATTCATTGTGCCAACGGACAGTGTTTTCTCTCCTATGCTGAAAAGATTCTGCTACGATCTTTTTGCTATCAACATATGCTTTCCGGCATTGTAGAAAACATGATTATATGAAACTTACCGAAATTAATACTCGAATCAGATTAACCATATTTTGGTCAATCGCCGATAGAAGAATTCTGTAGTCGAGCCGCGTACAGCCCGAAATTGGCAGTCTTCATGGGTCTATATCATAGTTAAAGCCAACTCGAATGGAACTGACAACAAATTTCAAGTTGAGGCGCTAAAGCACCTAGAGGACTTCAACAACTTTAGTACCATTGGAAATGACGAGGATACCGGTCCCAGCTGAAGTCCCATCTCCAGGAGTCAACTAAATGGACACGATTAAGAAGATAAGCTGGGTCCAGCTGTCTAATTGTTCCGCCAAAAGGCCGCGTGTCAGAAAATTAGCCAAGGGTTCATGATAGTCGCAGCTTGATGGGAAAAAATCGATATGGGAATGATTTTACTTTTAATATGGAGATAGGAGCTCCAGTTGGTGATCATCGAAAACTGTCGGCGAGTGGAATGGTCTGAGATAAGGATATAAATCCTGTTAAGACTATCAAAGATTGTCTCATACAACAGAGATTTCCTTGAATCTAATCTTAATGGGACGATGGGCCATCCAGCATCCCAAACATGACTGGAACACATTTAGAGCAGTACGATTGCAACTGCCAACCACCAACCGAGCACGAGACAATCTCTATAATTCACAAATCTAAGCCTAACAAAACCGCTGGAAATGGACTGCTAGGTAAAATCTTCAAATGTTACCCTTCACACTTGCAGAGATATTCATTGGTGTGGGAGAACAAATGCCACTAATTTCGAAGGTAAAAAGAATTCATTGCGACAATTATTGAGCAATTATTTTATTAGATGTTTCTAGGAAGGTTTTTGCGCTTCTTCTACTGAATAAATTCATGCATGCGTGATGCGTTATAAACCGAATTTAAGCTTTCCTGATCAAATTTTCATTCGCTGATAAGAATAATGGAAGAGCGTTCCGACGACTTATCCGCTTCACGACTTTCCTGCTGCATTTGATTCGACCAACAGGGCGTTCTAGAAAATCAAGAAACACGATGGTGTCGTTAAATACGATGAAATTAGTGACTCTGATCCTCCGAAAAAAATTGCTCATTAATTAATTCCTCCCATTTACAAACATTAGGGCCAATTTCCTCGTACAGACTTCAAAATTATATTTACGCCTCTTAGGAGAACTGCTTTTCTTACTCTAAGGAACCCGAGCCAACAAGGAACCCGAGCGATCGCTGGTCAGGTCTCAATATCTAAATGTTCAATTTGATTTTTTAGTTCCCTAATTTTTAATTTTTAAATGAATTTTAATCCTTTTCTATGTTTTTAAATGTGCGAATATTATCTAAGTTATTAAAGGTTTAATTACCCAGTTGATTAATAAAAAATGGGGGTATATTTGGTACCACGGATCTCACTGGAGTGCTGAATGGAATCCGGGGAGACACTTGGTACCGTGAACCTCACCGGAGTGGCTAGACAGAGCTTGCAAATAAATAGATAGGAAGGTACATTAACAGATTATTCAATTTTTTCCTTTTTCTTGCAAATTTTTCACGGATTGTTCTGTAAATTTTCTTTCTTACTTATAAATTATTCTAAAAAAGATGGAATGATTAAAGTAACCGCAATTGCCTCACGGAATAAACTCCAATGTGTTTAACAACCCCCTCAAAGAAGTGGTCGATCTATCTGCACCACAATTCTTAGTTTCGTAATTCTTCCTACGTCTTCGAGGACATATGCGACAAGAATTGCTAAATTGCAGCTCAGATCCAACAATATTTTGCTGATTTAGCAGGGAATATTTGTCTGAGAATTCATTGCATTTGAAAATGGTTTATTAAAATCCGTTGAATTTTAATTTTTCGATAAGGCGACTTCTTTGGCTGAAATATTTCGTCTGCGATTTTAGAATTATTGAAATTCAAAATTTGAATGAATAGAAATCTACCAGAAAAGGTGCCAAAGTAATTCTCGGAAATATTCAATCAGAATCGAAAATCAAATTTAAATTTTTTAAGTTTTCCGCACGATTCTCAGCGTAAAAACCGGCGACGTTTGCGAGTGCGCAACGCGCAACACGCACAGCGAAGCATTAAACCGCAGACGAATTGATTGGGAACGCACTTTGTCCCCCCGACTCCCCCGACAAACGAGTAATTCGGCGCGCCGGTAAGCGTTGTGATTGTGATTAACTGCTGAGATTATTGTATGTTATTGTTAATTATGGCTGTGAACTTATTTAGGAAGAACGAAAAGAATGAATTCGCTTTTAGCGAAAATGTTGGGCAAAACGAAGGTTCTCTTTTCGACTATTTCTGCTTGCTCGTTCTCAGTCGTTTCCAATTGGTACTTTTTTCCGAATTGCGAATTTTATTGTATTTTGCCATAACTTTTGCATCGCCGGCTCGACGAAGTTTTGTCATTTTCCGAATAACTTCATTTATTTCGCTTTATGCAATGCATTTCGTTGCATCAACTTGCAGCAGTGCAGTTTCGAGCTCAAAGTAATGTCACTTTTCTGTTCCATTCTACTTTAGTGCCGTATTGAGGGATGCGACGAAACCAGAACTGATTTTCGAAAAACCAGCAAAATATTTTCATGAAGAATTAGCTTCGGTCGATTCGTTAGCCGAGGCTAAACGAATGCATCCAGTGCAGCAAAAAACAGCGAGAAAATGGCGACCGTTAACTTCTCGCGATAATGAATGTCAGGTTAAAATTTGTTTGAAAAGATGTTTGCGTTCACTTTCACTTTCATGTTTAAATTTAAAATATATTATAAATAACCAGTTAAATATTTAAAAGGCGTTCGAGATTTATACTTTATGCAATTTTTATCTTATCAGTGGAACAAAAAATGGAAAAGTGCGACAATAGTTTACTTTTTTTCGAATAATCGTAAGTAATTCGAATGAAAATTCTAATTGTTTTTATCAGCAGAAAGCGGTTACTTTTTAATCTTTGTATTGCTGAAATTGCATTTTCAGTCATTTATCGGTCCTCAGGTCGTTTCGATTGCTTCGGGCGATTCCTTTGATTTATTGTCAGCGTTAAAGGATCCGCAAATTCAGCTGATTTATCAACATAAAAATATTGATAATGGTTCGACTTTTTGATATTTATATTTTTGATATTATATCTTTTGTTAGTTTGATTTTCTTTTAATTCTTAGCAAAAATCAATAGCAGGAATTATAGATGCAGAAGCAGGTCTTCATTTTTCACTGAAACCTGAATATTTGGTAAAAAGCAACAAAATTCGTGAATTCTTTCTTTTCAATGATGGAGTTGTAGTTTTTTGGGGTCTCGATCAAGTTGAAGTTTGCCTTATTTTTTATTATTTCTGAATTTTTAAATGAATTCATATGAAAATTTTCCAAATTTCATTCTTTTAAAAAAAATTTTTCTCGTTATTAAATTTTAAAAAGAAAAGCTTTTAGCGTTCCCAGATTCTTCGGCTTCTACGAAAATACATAAATAATCCCTATGATTCAAAACTTGTCGAAGAGGAAATCGAATCAATGTCATTTCTTATCACTAATGAGTTAATCATCTATTTTTTAAAATTTGATTAAATAAAATAAGATAAATGACAAGTGATAAATAGTTTTAATGGCATAAATAGTTTTAATGACAATGGATTTTTTCTTTCATATCCGTTTCGATATGAATCTTTTCTTACTATTTATTTTATTTTGCTTTTAGAGATGAAACATGTATTAAAAATGATCGATTCTTGATAAATATACAAAAGCATGAAACTGAATTTAATTCAAGTAAATCTATATTAGAACGATATGCTTTCTCACATGGAATGGCAACATCAGGTATGGTTTTTATTTTTTTATAAAATTTTATTTTTATTTATCTGTTTCTCCTTTACTTTTATCATTGCTATATTGCAAATAAGCTTTTTTAATTATAAATTACGAAAGATAGTTTCTTCTTTTCTTTTATTTCTAGTGAAAATAGCTATATGGGAATCACAATTAAGTGAGCGTGCAGAAATACTTGCTATTACTACAAAAGCATTAAGTGAAGGATATATTCCATGGAAGCGAAAAGAAGTTTTAAAACTGATCGGATACTTTTCTGATCTGAGGTAAAACCTAATTGGCCAATAATTTTATCTTCTAAATAATTTAGAAATTATTTTGATGCCAGTGAAAAACATATGACTAAATATATTTATTATAAATATAATCGGTTATTGCTGAGATTTCATTTCATAGTATTATTTGGAATGTGAATGGTGATTGAAATAAAGTATCATAAAAAAATGCGTTTCATTTTAACTTATTGTATCATTGTTATTATTATTAATTATTATTGTATTTAATTTTTTGTATAATTTATAATATGTTACAATTATAATAATAATTATATTATTATTAATTATTATTGTTGTTATTATTACTATTAATTATTATTATTAATTATTGTTTTTATTAATTATTATTATTGTATTATTATTTTTTATTATTATTAATTATTATTGTTGTTAATTATTTTTGCCCAAAAGTTTTAGGCACTCGATAAATTTAAATTGTGATTTATTGAGTACAGATTTTTACTGGGAAAATGAACATCTCGAAAATTTCTATGATCAAGCAATCAAGCATTTTATGGTGCGTAAAAGAATGAGGCATGTTTCAAATGGGTTTTTTCTGCTTTTTTTTAAAAGTTTAAAATTATTGATTTGTGCAATTAATATAAGTTAAATAAGCTTTCCTAGACTTTTTTTTGCAGATTACTCAACAATCGTTTAGATTATTGTGAAGATTTGGTGAAATTAATTGACGGAATGTTGGCACATCGCCATGTAGGTTATTTATTTTAATTAATTATTTTTACCTTTCGCTTATCATTGCTCCGCTGCAATTTTTTCAACTTTTTTTTTGTTTTATGTTGTGCAGATAAGAGCAAATTTATAATGTAGATTATTCGATGTTTTATGTTTATATGAGTTTAAATTTTCAAATTATTGCATTAACTTTGAAGTTTTTTTGCATTGAATGAATATTACAATGTTCAGGCTTCAACACTGGAATGGATGATAATTATACTCATTGTTATTGAAGTTATTTTCGATATATTACATTTTTTCGAAAATTCTTTTTATGAGAAATTGCTCAAAAGAATTGATTCTTCTGACAGATATGATAAATGATTTGTTATAATTTATGCAAAACTGCGTTTTTCCAAAAATTTTTTTTTATTTCTCAAAGTTTTCATTTATCCTATTTATTGGTTTGAGAAACTCTGAAAAATTTATTTTATTTTTATCTGAAAAGTTCATTAATTATTGTTTAATTGTTCACAAATTATTAATTATTGTAATTAATATCATATATAAAGGTGGTTAAGTCTTTTTTTCTTTTGTGGATAAAAGTATTTCATACGATTAAAAATTAAATTAAAAATATTCTGATTTCAGTGAAAGGTTTAAATTTTCCATTTTTATTTTTCTTTTTTTTTTAACCCATTACAAATTATTTTAATTCGTCAATTTTTGGAAAGTTTAAATTAAAAATTTCACTAATTTTTCGTATTTTATAGATTTCGAAAATAAGCAGAGTAGCATTAACTAGTTTTATTTAGATGAATCATATCCAATATTCTAGTAACTTTTTATAATTTTGGAGAAAATTTTTATTTGGTTTTCTAAAAAGAAATATCGCTTAAATTTTAGTTTTGGAATTCCTTAAGGAAAATTTATTTCGAAAATTTAATTATTTTAAAACGATTGATTTATTTTAAGATGATTTCTCTTGAGAATATTTTCAATTTTCATGCATTTTTTAGTCTGTTTTTTCCCGACTAATTAATTTTTTAAAGAAAAATCCTGAAGCCATTTTATGGGTGAAGTCTGATAATGTTGATAAAACAGGTTTTTCTATTATTTCTTGAATTGTTTTGTGTTATAATATTTATATTTACATTTAATATTAATTAAAACATAATTAAAACCTTTTCGTCATTATAATAAAGTTATTATACTTATATTAATTAAAGTTATTATAATGATAACTTTATAATAAAATTTAAAAAATTGGTTATTTAATTTGCTTTAATTTTAATTTAATTTACTGTAAATTTTTTCAAAAAGTCATGGCTTCACAAAATTAATTCAAATTAGTCGGTACACCTACACTTATATAATATAATTAGTTTCAAGCAATCATTCTCCTGAATGTTACACTCGCTGAATACAACGATAATATAAGTTCGTTTTCTGTTTCAACTTGAGGTAAGCATGTAATTAACGAACGAATTCGAGATGGACCTGGCTGTGCGGCCAATTAAGTGACCTTTTCGAATTGAAAAGGCGAAAATCTCGGGGCAACATGTTGGTTTGTCAAGTCGATTAACGAAGAAGTTCCTTAATTTCATATTTCCTAAATGAGTGAGTCTTTAATCGAATATTTTTTATTTCGTGGTGAAAATGCAATTGATTTTTTATATTCATTTTAGAGTAGGAAATTTTAAATCATTTATTATTTTACACCAGGAAGAATAACGAAATTGATTATCCATGAATTTTAGGGGAAATTTATTAGAAAATAAGAATAACAATAATTATTATAATAATTAATAATAATAAAATAATATAATAATTATAATAATTATAATAATTATTATAATTATAATAACATTTATAATTATAATTATAATTATAATATTAATAACAATAAATAATAGTAATTAATAATAATTACTATTATTATTATAATTAATAATAATAAAATAATAATTAGAAATATAAGTATAATATATAATACAATAAATTGTTATACAATAATAATAATAATAATAAGAATAATAAAAGTGATATAATAAGGTAAAATAAATCGCTTTTTTTAATGACACCATTCACATTCCAAATAATACTATGAAATGAAATCTCAACAATAACTGATTATATTTATAAAAAATATATTTAATTATATGTTTTCACTGGCATCAAAATAATTTCTAAATTATTTGAAAGAAAATCATTGGCCAATTAGGTTTTACCTCAGATCAGAAAAGTATCCGATCAGTTTTAAAAATTCTTTTCGCTGCCATGGAATATATCCTTCATTTAAAGCTTATTCCCATATAGCTATTTTCACTAGGTGTTTATGCTTTTTCGTCAGACCTTGATAAAGATAAATTCCATGCTAAGTTTCAACCGCTAACAAAGTCTCTTCCGAAATATGACATCATAATCGGGGAAGACTAGGATGTGCACATGGATCATAATGCCGATGATTTCGTAAATTGATAAATATGGCATCGGAGACCGGTGAGCCTTGGTTAAACCGAAGAGCACGAACTTTTTGTTATTAATACTTGCTTCTGGCATCGTATAAAATATCTAATCAGATGGAACTCTCCGCATAACGAACACTTCAACCAGATTCATTATATTTTACTTGATCATCGTTGGAAGTTTCGTATAGTCGTTCCTATCGCGGCGCTGAAATGAGCAATCTTCACGAATCTGACAATATTATAGTTTGAGCCAAGTTCTGCATAAAATTGGTAACTGGCAAGAATCCATTCCCCTAGATCTTTCAACTATCTAAGAAATTGGGGGACAATGAGCGCATTTCAAACCGAATTATTGAAGCATCTCATGGCATAAATGTCAATGATTTTTCTGGAACTGCGAACGAATACTGGTTCAAACTAAAGGAATGTCTCTGAAAGTTAACCACTTCCACGCTAGAGCATATTAGTAGGAAATGCGCTAGTTGGCTATCCGAAGCAATTATGAGAACGCTGCCTGTAACAGAAGAAAAGAATCTAATCTAAAAATTTATTCCTTTTTCCGTTATATTATCGCACTTATCGTTCGACCTTAAACTTAGGTAATTAAACCTTTATTTATATAATATAATAAAAGCAAAATTGGGCGACGACATATTACATTATAATAAATTACAAAACAATATAAACAAAAAAAACTCAATTAAAGAATTACATCAAATAACATACTAAAATCGTTAGCTTACCCTCAACCCACTGCTTTCTATCAATAAAATTGAATAATTTGTGTCCCAAAAAGAAATAGAATCGATATAAAAATTGCAGCCGCAGCTGCGATTTTGTTGGCCTTCAATCGATTCTGCTCATTTCTTAGCACACTGACGCGAATGTTAGGAGATCCTGTCTGCTTCGAAGAATTGCAAAGACAGTAGCATGGTGCAATAGAAATCATTGTTGGAGCGACATAACCTTGAGGATGGAGCCTGCGGCTCGATTAGGCGATAATAGGAAAATATCTCGTCTTTTTCATAAAGCAACTATAACTCGGGATTCAGACAAGCTAGATTCAGACCGGGACGCGGTTATGCTGACCAGATATTCACGTTAAGATGAGTATTGGAACATCGCTTCAAATATACGCAACTCAATATCAACTATCTTTGATTCGATTGATAGAACAATGTAAGGGTTGGGACGCGACGGTGTTCTAGAGAAAATATCATTCGACTTATTAAGGCGTTTTCTATTCCTAAATCGGCGCAGGCTGTATATTTGGTGAACTGATGGACTCTTTTGAAATATGAATTGCTCAAGATTGCATCATTTCCCCTACAATATTCAATTATGCGATAGATTGGATAATGGACAACGTTTATCAGCACTCAAGAGGTGTACAAATCAGTCCTGAGCATCGTGTCATAGATCTTAAATATTCCTTTTCTGATGGTATATTCCTTTTTGCTGACAGTTATGACGAAATGCAAGTAATGCTAACAAGGTGTCAACAATTGCAGCAAAAATCGGACTAAGGTCATTGTAAATAAAAAAAAACGAAAATCTTTTAGTCTTATAGGTATGTAAAAAGCTGATAAAATGCCTCTTTTCATAGCTCATTGCCGATTGAGGAATTGCCGTATTTCAAACACCTTGGATCCACACCTTGAATCCGAATTGTCAAATTGTCACCCAAAAGACAAAATTATGATTGTAACTCGGATAAAGACAAAATTACAATGACGACTGCAGCTGTAAATGCGTTCTTCCGGTTGACGATACCTTTATGGAGCCGAAATCAACATAAATCAGCATAAAAATGAAAGTCTGAGTCTGTGATTCGATCTTGCTATATGGCTGTAAGACAATGAGGGTGGAGGAAATTAAGAGGGTATTATCTGTTTTCTGTCATCACTTATGTCTAAGGTACAAGGTTTACCGAGCGGATAAAATCTCACATAATCGTATCTGCATCCACTTTCGTTCAAGTACCATTTGCATTAAGGGATCACAGAGTGTCGCCTTCACTTCGCTGGTTAGGGCACATTTGGGCACATTCTTCGTCGCCCACTGCAAGTGCTGGCACATTATCTACTTCTATGCTTTATTTTCAAAAAAATTTGTAGAGTTCTAGAATTAATCGCAAAATTTGGAAATCTTCATACAAAAATCTCTCTTTAAAAAAGTAGATCACTTTAATCCCCCCAACTATCATTCAATTAGCATTACTTATATGAGCAGAAAGATGCTGGATGATTCCTTTTCAACAAACTGTTATCTTGATTCAAACAATTTAATATTTTCATGGTTTTCTTAGGCTAAAATCGGTTACCTGTCAGCTTTTTACTATGTATTTGACTGGTCACTTCATTTTTCGTGTTCGAAAGATCTCATCTGTCTATGTAGACTTAATTAAAGCTTTCAATATTATTTCTTATAATGGGCTGGTCTATCGCAGTGCTTATTGGATTATTTCACGAGGTAAACTGGCGACTATTTGAGCTCTCATTGCCAGATCGTCCGTATTAATAATGCTCCACCTGATTTTATTGTAATCTGTTGTATCTTAAAGCAGTTGATTCTTTTTTAATGTAATTGTTTTATTCAAAAATTAATATTTCTGTGTTGGCTATGAAATTTATTCGTCGCATCGGAGATCGCAGAATAGAAAAACTCAAATTCTTTTCTTGAATAATTTAGTCATTTAATATAATCACTGTACTATTTATTATAACTTTAATTTATAACAATTAGATTTTAATGCAGAGGTGATTGGTTGGCTGATTATGCTTAGGGCATTTTAGTAGAGCCGATGCATTTTCCAAATGTTTTTTCGTTAGAAATAGTGACTAGTAGAAGAGATTATCGCGCGAAGTCTCGTTTTTATTTTCGGTTCCATTCACTTATATTAATCCTTGATTTAGCCTCATTTGTCATCAGTTCAATTTGTCATCAATTCCAGAACACAGCTCTATGCCATATTTGGTTTATATTTATATGAATAAATAATTGTAGGAAAGGACTCGAAAAGTGAGTAATCGAAATTCCTGGAAAATGCTTATTGGCGCTAAAAATGCTCTGCTGATCTGATTTTTCGATTTGGTGAATTGCTTGAATTGCTAGTTGAATTGCTATGCATTTATTTTCGCGTTAATTTTGGTTGCGATCTTCGCTTTCTTTCCTGTTTAAAGATAATTTAATTTTATGCGAATTTATTTTCGAAAAATCTTAGTAGCAATGCTGTTACGTCATTCTGGAAATAATATATTTAAAGCATTGATCCGTACTTGTCCATATAATTGTAAATATTCCACTCGTGAAGAGGATTCATTTCGACTTCATCAATTTTCGGAGAAATACCTCAACAAAAGACTGGTTCGTCCTCTGTTTATACCATACAAAGTCTTACATCTATTTGATGAATTTATGAGATTTTTATTGTTTGATTTGGTGGTTAACAAATAAATCTTAATCGTGCTTTGGGAGATCTTATTTAATCATCATGAATATTAATTGGTTTTTGTTCATCAAAAAGTTTTTATTGGTTTGGTTAAAAAGATAAATTGATGGAAAGTTTCAGGTAGGATTCACAGAAAGATTGAATATATTAAAACCGGAACAAGTGTCAACATTGCCTATCTATCGAGTAACGGATTCGCTGGGAAAATTCATCGATAAATCTCTTGATCCGAATTTCGATAAGGTAGAATATTTTTAAAAAAATATTTATTCTTGCTCGAAATTTTCAATTTGATTATAGATTTAACATTCCTCACGATTTTTTCTTTATTTTATTCCGAAAATTTTTTTGCAGGATTTCAGTCTGCAATTGTACAAAAGTATGGTCACATTAAATCAAATGGATAGGATTTTATATGATTCGCAGCGGCAAGGCCGAATTTCTTTCTATATGACAAGCTATGGCGAAGAAGTTTTTTTTTCGATTTCCCAGTGAATCTCGTGGTCTTTTTTTGAATTTGGGGGTTTTTTAGAAATTCTAATCAAGGGATTCATTTTTAAAATTTTCTCTTTTTAAATATTTTTAGAGATTCAGATTTTAAGAAACCGTTGTTTTACTATTTAAATTCAAATTCATATTCGCATTTAGAATTTTTTTTTCAAGCTTTTCAGGCGTGTCAAATCGGATCAGCCGCTGCATTGCAAGGTGAAGATCTTGTTTACGCTCAATATCGAGAAACGGGTGTACTCATATGGCGCGGTTTTAGCCTTCCAGATATCATGAATCAGTGCTATGGAAATGCTGAAGATAAATGCGGTAAAGCTGCTGTTGAAATCATATTTACGAAATTAAATAAAAATAGAAGTATCTGCCTCAACTGTGAAACGATGAATCAAAATTTAATTTTCTAACTATTATGGAGAAATGTAACTGTTTTGCATTTTAATTTATTAAAAGCTAAATTTTGCTAAATTTAAATTTTCCCTACATTTTCAGGTAAAGGCAAGCAAATGCCTATACATTTTGGATCAAAAAAACACAATTTTATGACTATTTCTTCGCCATTATCTACTCAAATGCCTCATGCAGTAGGCTCTGCATATGCTTTTAAACGGTAAAATTTGTCAAATATTTTATAAATAAGAAATAATTAGTGCGAAAAATATACTAAATTTTTGCGGTCATTGTTTCAAATTCATTTGAGAATTACAAATAAATAAAAAAAATATTAGGAGAAAAAATTTAGTGCAAACAATAGTCGAGTAGTTATGGTTTATTTTGGTGATGGAGCTGCATCAGAAGGTGATGCACATGCTGCATTCAATTTTTCAGCAACTCTGGTAAGCATTGCTTGTTTTTCATCGTTCGATTTATTTCTAATTCCTTATTCGGTATAGAATTGTCCGATAATTTTTCTATGCCGAAATAATGGCTACGCTATCAGTACTCCAACAAGCGAGCAGTACGCGGGTGACGGTATTGCAGGTAAAGGTCCAGGCTATGGATTAAATACTATCAGGTAATAATAAAAATATATTAATACAGAATTAATTACCAATTAGTAAGTTTTTTTTAGAATCACCACCACTGGTATCGGCGTTCCGAATTGAGCAACAACCCATTGCACTGAGCCATTCTATCACCAATTACTTTTGAATAAATCACCCTCATAATATTCATTTTATTCATTTTCCATTTATATTTTAAAAATGGTAAGAATTTTTCGTTTTTTCATCGTACTGATTTCTTTCATTATTCAGAGTTGACGGTAACGACCTAATCGCTATGTACAATGCTACTCAAGAAGCAAGAAAAATGGCGATAGAAAATAACCCAGTAATTATTGAAGCCATGACATATAGAATCGGCCACCATTCTACATCTGATGATTCATCGGTTTATCGGTAAATATATGTTATCATTTCTTTCGTATATCATAGTTTTTCCCTCTGTATTCATTATTTTTAAGGTTGTTTTATTCTAGATCTGCAGAAGAAGTCAAATACTGGCTTGATAAAGAGCATCCTATCAATAGATTTAAGACATATTTAGTCGACAAAGGTTGGTGGAATGTGGAAGAAGATAAAAATTTGCTGAAAAAGGTTTTTTCCAATTTCATTTTTTTATACCTTCTTCTTTGATCCTTTTTTTAACTCAATTTTATTTCAGGTAAGGGAAAATATATTGTATGCTTTTTCAAATGCGGAGAAAATACTTAAACCCCAACCGCTTGAAGTGTTTGAAGACGTATATAAGGTAATATAACAAAATACACAAATAAATTAAAGGACTTTTGAATGTAAATTTTTTCATTAACTAAAACTTTTCATTTCATTCATTTAACGTTTTGAATTTTATTTTTTTAAATTTTTAAATTATTTATTATATAAAATATTTTTAAATTTTTTAGGAACAAACAAATAATTTGATGAAACAACGGGAAGAATTAAGTGAGCATCTCAGACAGTACGGTGATAAATATCCGCTGGAAAATTTTCAACCAATATTCGAGGAAAGCACCGAATCTTTTAAAACAAATGCAGCTTCGCAACATTAATTAAATTTAATGTCCAGCTCTTTCTCAGTTTCACGCGATTTTATATTAATAAGATTTTTTTGGCTCTTTTAGAAACTTTGATTTATAATATTCGTTTTTCGTGGGAAAATTTGTTATCCAAATAACTTCATTCATTGTGATTTTGTTTCAAAAATTTCTACCTTAATATATTTTTAAAAAATCATCTCCAAATATGAACATTTATCACAAATTTAATTTTTTATATTAATATTTTACTGCCACTTTCATATAACGAACGAATATCGGCAAATTATTTTGCAACCACAAAAAATTTGAAAATTTCAAAAAAAAATGCGAATGTTCATATTCATAAGTTGACCAAAAAAAATTCAAAAATACATAAGTAAAATGTTGAAGTATTTTATATTTGAAGAAAACTTTCATTAAAAAGATTAAATAATGAAAAAAACTATAGAACTTATGTGCAGTAAAATTACATATATATTCTTAAATGATCAGATCCATCGAATCTATCCCAAAATATTCAATCTTCGCACCACGCATTTTCTTTTCGAATCTGAAAAATATATATATCCATAGAAAAAAATTATTTCTGGGATAGCATAATGATTTCTCAACAAAAATAAATACCTGTTCTTCTTCCTCCGGAGTAAAATCATTTTTAATATTGAAAGTTCGTCGGATTTCCTCCGGTGATTTCCCTTTGATCATATTCGCAACAGTTTTACATGTCACATCCAATAAACCTTTGATATCCAGGAAATTTGCAGCCTTAATGGAAAATTTGACTATTACGATTTGCAAATAAGGTAAATAAATCATAGAGGAAGAAATATCCAATCATTCGACTTCGATTAGCATTTCAAAAATTTGAACGAGAATGAATAATTGAATTTGAAGACAGTAACGGATATTTATGACAACTGAATAAAAAATGACCAAATTACCAAAATTAATTCAAATAGAGTTCCCTGATCGACTTTGAGAAATTCAACATCCCATGGAGGAATGTCATCTGTGCGCTTTTCTTTACTATCCATTTCTTCTGGTGTTTCTGGATCGTCCTTATGATACTGGCACCATTGGATAACCTAAGATGATCAAAATATACACTAAAATTCTGAAGATGCAAGTACTCCAAATTTAAAGAAATTTAAAGAACATTTCAAAAATAAAATTAATAGCCTTTAAATTCAATTTTATTCATGATTACATGAATATTATATCACTCTCTAATGCAATCATAGGAAAATGAATTGCATACCAAATGACTGCGCAAAAATAGAAATGGTGCTATCCTAAAAATCGTAAATCGTAAAATCGTAAATCGCAAAAAGTGATCCTGCACTTTTATAACACTTTTTATAACAGTATATTCAAACTTAAAAGAAAGGAATTGCTCAGATTATCGTATTAATCAAGGATTTCACTTTGTCAAAGTAAAAAACGCTGGCTATCCAATATTTCTAATGTTTCCTTGTGATTTCTCAACAAAAATTCCGCCAGCGTAATCAGAAATGGCGAATTATACACAAATTAATCTTAACCTTCTTTTAACAATAATAAAAAAATAAAACTATTTAAATTATCAGTTTTTTCTAATTTCCATGAAAATAAAAAATTTGCAAAAAAACTTTGGAAAATAATCATTTTTTTTTGCAATATTTTTCAAATATCCAATATCCAATATTAAAACTAAATCATTCTTAATTATATAAGGAAGCTTTTCATATTTTTGAAATAAAATATTTAAATAATTTTAAGGCAAAAGCAGATAGAAAACACGAAAAAATAACTGACTTTTCTCAAAATCGAACCACTGATTGTATCCAGTGGAATCGGATCAGCAGATAGAATATTTTGATCTACATCATCGTTGTCCATTCCCAAATCTATAAAACTTGCCCATCGAACAGTTCTATGAAACTTTTCCTCTCACGTAATATAAATCAGATTTCTAGTAAAAAAATGATATGAATTATAAAGCTAGAATTTATAGCAGAAACGAAAAGAGATTCGTAACTGTTAATTATAAATTATTTCTTCTAATAGATTTCTATATTAAAATTTAATAATAAATAGAAATAGAAACGAAATACCTATTAACATAGTGTTCATCATATTCGAAAGCCTAATAACATCACGATCAACTTCGAACTGCTCTTGATCAGAAGATCGAAGAATAATCTTCTTCTGTGGCTTCTCAGACATTTTAAATATTTCAAATTAAGTCGTCTAAAACGAATTTTACAGGATTGTAGAACTAAAAAATGAAAGGATAGTCGAGACATAATACAAATAATATTTGGTTCATAAAAACCGTCCACTATAAAGAAACATAGCCACGAGTGGGAAAATAAAAGAAGTGGATGTTCATAAGATTCAAAAGGGAAGTAAAAGTGAGGCGAACTGCGGAAAATTATCGAAACGAATCAAAAAGCATATAAAAATATTTAAAAACCGCGCGCTGTTGCGAACCGATCTGCATTTCTGCTCTAAGTGACTCTACTGCGAAACGGACGTGTACATATTTTGATGTGTCCACGTTAATTCTAGCCCGATGAAATAGACATGAGCTTGGGCTCGCACGTGAACAACGGAACTATTTTCAGCAATGGCATCGGGTCAGAAGGCTTTTCCTCCGATTGCCAGTGGAGCGAGCCAAACCAATGATGCGGGCTGCTAAGAGATTCCGATTTGAAATGAATGTCACTAAGAAAGGAATATTAAGCAACACAGCAAATCTATCCAACCAATGACCGTGACAACCGCGCCGATAACGGAATTAAACAAAAGAGTAGTCAGCAAATCTCATTCGTGCCTAGAGAAACGCAGCCACGGCCCCTTTTTCCGTTTTATCACTACTGCTATTAATTTTTATTATTTTATTTCACTTTTTTGATTTTGAATTTGATTTTTGAATTTTTGGTTTCCATTGTCCATTATTGGTTGCTAATTTATTAATTTTTGTGCTAAAACGGAATAAAAATTGATATTTTAAGGTTTGAGAAGAATGGAATAAAATAGGTAAAACAAAGGGCCGCTTTTCCGACGAGCAATGGCAATATGTTCGGAGCGGTGGCAGCGGGAACTGATGTGCGGCTGCGGCTCATTTTCCCTTATAGGCTGGGCTGTGGCCTCGGCTGTAATTGTGTTCTGATTAGTTAACGAGTAATTAAGCATCTTCTTCTTCTTTTAAGAGCATTCATCATTTTAGGGTTAGCTGACTTGGCTGATTTGCATAAGCGCATTATTTGGTGATGGAAGTACCAGTCGGTGGCTGGCAATAACAATTTTAATTTTAGGTTTACTCCAAATATGACCCAGAAATAACGCTCCTTCATATCTAATCTAATTGCGCGGTAGTTGTTCAGATTTTCAAATTTTAAATAACTTTAGAAATAAGTTTTGAACAACGGTTAGATTCTTTCTATTATATTATTAATACAAAGCTTGTACTGTGGACGGGTAAAACCGTTCTTTTTGATACCTCCTCACATCCCGCCAATATCCTTTTATAACCATTCCGAATCTTGTCACACTATTTCTATACTTAGCAAATCAGATGAGGGCTTAATCGTCGCCGAAAGCCAAATTTGAAGGTTGTAAAAAATACCGTAGACCAAAGTCAAGTCTGAAATTTTATGAAAAAAAAATTAAAAAATTAAAAAAATTAACTTTCAACAGCATGGAATTGTCGTCCAAGATATTAAAAAAGCTACAGTTTCCAGTTATTTACGATTGCAATAATTTAGATGCAATAATTTCTTTCCATGCAATCAGATTTTAGGAAAAGTTTGCAATTTTTTGGCTTAATTCTCAGTTCGATCGAATTAAATGAAATCAACTTTATGTGCTCAACTCAACTTCATATGAAATTAATTTTATATGAAATTATATGCTCTCAACCATTGTGATCATTCTATTTTTTTGGAATATTTTCTAGAACTTTCAATAAATTTCGAGCTAAGTCTTTTTTACTTTCTTTTTCCTCTTTTTTCTTTTCCCTAAAAAAAACAAAGAATTGTAATAAATATATATATATATATATACATATATAATGTATATAAAATTAATAATAATATAAAATATAAAATACCTATCTTCGAAAAACTCTTTGTCTTTGACACGAGTAAACCTATCATATCAAAAATCCGGGTGGTTGCTGCGGATCCACCTATAGCTCTATCCCCAAGTAAATCTATGGTGAAAGGGCCAGATGTTTTTGATACGGCGTCCGCACATGATACTCCTATCTCGATGGTACATGCGATGAGTATGAGTATATGAGTCCGGGCTTAAAGTGATCCTAAGGTTGATAAATAAAATGTGCTCGCAAGCCAGGGTAATTGCTCGAAACCTATCAAAGGAAACAGCCTTCTACACGCTCGGCGAGGTATTAGCCGTATCAGCATGAAACGTCAGAGCGCTTGTGGACGTTGCAAGCCAAGCGATCACTGTCCACACCCTGTCTAAGTATCGTGTGGATATCGCTTGCTTGTCAGAGATCCGTCTTCCTCACTTTCGGTCTCGAGAAATTATTAATCCTGGTTCAGAGCAGAGATGCTGGCTATATCACTGTGGTGCTTCGGATAACTCGGGGCGAAATGGCGTGGCGATTGTCATATCTGAAAAAGCCCATTCCGCTTTGATTGAGTGGAAACCGATAAACGACCATATGGCCTATGCCCACTTTAAGGGTAAGTTCTGCAAATATCTCGGTCATCAGTGTCTATGCTCCAACTCTGTCGGCAGATGATAATGATAAGGACAAGTTCTATGCGGAACTTCAACTGCTAACAAAATCTCTACCAAAACATAACATAGTCATAGTCGGGGAAGACTGGTATGCACGCATAGGTCACAATGCCGCTGTGATGACCTCGACAATTGGCAAATATGGCATCGGAGACCAGCGCGCCAATGGGAAACGCCTTCCTCGTTATGCCGAAGAACATGAACTTGTATTACTAATACTTGCTTCCGTCATCGTTGAAAATATCTAGTTACGTGGAATTCCCCAGATAACCAACACTTTTCAACCAGATTGATTATATTTTAGTCAGTCACCGTTGGAATAGGTTCCGTACTAGATAGTCGTTCCTACCGCGACGGGCAATCTTCATGGATAATCTGATCATGTTATGGTTAGAGCCAAGATCCGCATAAAATTGAAAAATTGACAAGTCGCAGAAAACAGCATCCCCAAAGATCCTTAAACTATCTCAAACTAAAAAATTCAGGGGCGGTGAGTGAGGGGCGGTATTTCAAACTGAATTATTGAAGCATCTCAGCGATACAAATATCAATGATTTTTCTGGAACGGCAAATGAATACTGATCGAAACTAAAGAAATATCTTCGAAAGTCAGACACTTTAATGCTAGGGGCACATTAGTAGGAAGTGCGCTAGTTGAGTATCGGAAGCAATTGTTCTGAGAAAGCTGCCAAAGCATGAATTTCAGGTGATCCTGACTACTGGATGCTTCGAAGATTTGTAATGAAAGCAACAAGGCGGGACAGAAATCACTATTGGGGTGACATGGTCTTAAGAATGGAGACGGAAGCGATAACATGAAATTATTCCGCGTTCTTCATAAAGCAACTATAACTCGGAGAACGATCAGTAAAAAGGTACAGCAATGGTGTGCCGATCAACAGTATTAAGGCCCTCATAACATGGAAAGAATTCTTTAAGACCAAACTTAACCATGAAGCGCCATCTGTTTCCCCTGATATAGCTAATACGTTTGCCGAAGCGCTTGCAATTGCGAGTCTCCAATAGAAAAAAATAATCCATATCCATAAACTTCCATTTCCATAAACTTCCATTTCCATTATCCATAAACTTAAGGCCAATATGATTCTAAGAGAAGATGATCTTCGAACTGAGCTTTTCAAATGTTGTCCATCGTCCTTCATAACGCAAATATATATTCTCTATGGAACAAAGAAATATTACCAGATGATTGGAGCAAAGCAATTCCCATGTTCCCAATTCTCAAGAAAGGTGATAAGGACATACTGCGATAATTATCGAGGAATCAGCCTATTAGACGTCTCAATAAAAATTTTTACATCCCTGCTATTCAACAGACTTATGGAAGTGCGGGACAGCAGGATGCGCCCTAATTAAGCTGGTTTAAGATCAGGGCGCGTTTTTGCTGACCAGATATTTACGTTGAGAAGAGTATTGGAACATCGCTTCAGATATTTGTAACCCATTGTCACATGTTTCATCGACTTTGCGGCTGCCTTTGAAAATCATTCGACTCATAAAGACATTTTATGCGCTACGTCGGCACAAGTCTATGTATATGGGAGCTCACAGGCTCTTTCGAAATAAGAACTAGTGTCCGTTAGGGATACGTCCTTTCCCCTACAGTATTCAACTATGCGATAGACTGGGTAATGGACACTGCTTGTCGGCCCTCAAGAGGTGTCCAGGTCAGTCCAGAGCATCGTATCATAGATCTTGAATACGCTGATGATGTTGCCGTTTTTGCTGACAGTTATGATGAAATGCAAATAATGTTAAAATGTGTCAACAACTGTAGCGAGAATCGGATTCAGGATCAATGCAAATAAAACGATAGTCTTTTCGTCTTATGTGCAAGTCAACGATAGTCTTTTCGTCTTATGTGAAACTGAATGCCTCTTTTTATAAATTCATTGCCGGTTAAGGAAATGCCTGATTTTAAATATCTTGGGCCTACTTTATTACCGAATGGCCAGACAAAAGATATTACAACCAGGATCACGGCAGCTAGAAATGAATTCTTCCGGTTGACGAAACCTTTATGGAGTCGTCATGAAATCACCATAAAAACGAAAGTTCGCATCTATATATCCGTGATCTGTTCGATCTTGCTATATGGTTCTGAGGTAACGCTCTGTGATAACATGACCAATGAGAGTGGAAGATAT